TTCGCCTTCTCACCCGACGGCCGGCACCTGGCCTGCGTCAGCCAGGATGGCTGCCTGCGCGTCTTCCACTTCGACTCCATGCTCCTGCGGGGGCTCATGAAGAGCTACTTTGGGGGCCTGCTCTGCGTGTGCTGGAGCCCCGACGGGCGCTACGTCGTGACGGGGGGCGAAGACGACCTGGTCACCGTGTGGTCCTTCGCGGAGGGCCGCGTGGTGGCCCGGGGCCACGGCCACAAGTCCTGGGTCAACGCTGTGGCCTTCGACCCCTACACCACGAGGGCAGAGGAGGCGGCGGACGAGGGCGCCGACGGGGAGCGGAGCGGCGAGGAGGAGGAGGAGCCGGAGGCCGGGAGCACTGGCTCGGGCGGGGGCGCCCCGCTCTCCCCACTCCCCAAGGCCGGCTCCATCACCTACCGCTTTGGCTCGGCCGGCCAGGACACGCAGTTCTGCCTGTGGGACCTCACCGAAGACGTGCTCTACCCACACCCTCCCCTGGCCCGCACGCGCACCCTCCCAGGCACGCCTGGCACCACGCCGCCTGCTGCCAGCGGCTCGCGGGGCGGGGAGCCGGGCCCCGGGCCCCTGCCCCGCTCGCTGTCCCGCTCCAACAGCCTCCCGCACCCCGCGGGCAGCGGCAAGGCGGGCGCCCCCGGCACAGCGGCAGAGCCCGGCACGCCCTTCAGCATCGGCCGCTTCGCCACGCTCACGCTGCAGGAGCGTCGGGACCGAGGGGCCGAGAAAGAGCACAAGCGCTACCACAGTCTGGGCAACATCAGCCGGGGTGGCAGTGGGGGTGGGGGCGGCGGGGACAAGCCCAGTGGTCCCACCCCCCGAAGCCGGCTGGACCCCGCCAAGGTTCTGGGCACCGCGCTTTGCCCGCGCATCCACGAGGTGCCGCTACTGGAGCCGCTGGTGTGCAAGAAGATAGCCCAGGAGCGGCTTACAGTCCTCCTCTTCCTGGAGGACTGCATCATCACCGCCTGCCAGGAGGGCCTCATCTGCACCTGGGCCCGGCCGGGCAAGGCGGTGAGTCTACCCTCGCCAGCCCACCAGGACCCTGGCAGAGGTGGGCCTTGGCAGAGGACTTTGTTAGCGCACAGCCTCCAGCCCCTTGGGGTACGGGGAAGCCATGAAAATTTTGTCCCAGGAAAAGGCTCCCGGGTCTTAGAGTGGCTTCTAGAACGATTGCCAGGCAACATCAGCAGAGAGCAGGTCAGGTAGGAGAAGCCTCTGGGAGTGGTGGAGACCGGGGCCAACTGTCTGAAGGGCAGCCGATGGGCCCCGCATGGCCAGGTCTTACTTGAATGGTGAGATGTTTCTAAGGCTGCAGGTCCAGCTCTGTGGGCAAGACTAAGCCTGTGGGCCCCGGCTTCCAGCCTGGGTCTCAGACTCCTGGGATGCAAGCCCACAGCTGGAGGCGTGGGCTATGGGATCCAGGCTCTGGGTTCCAGCTTGCACTGTAGCTCCCTGTGTGACCTCGAGCGAGTCACTGCCTCTTCCTAACCCTTCTCATCTCTGAGGACAGGGCAGCATGAAGATGGGTGGTGGGTGGATGTGCCCACCTCCTGGGTTGGCCCTGGGGCTCAGAGAGGCCCCAGCAAGTGAAGTGGGGGCCTGGTGCTGTATGACGTGGGAGCTGGGGTCTCAGGAGTCTCCTTGGGCTTTGGGTTCGGGGGCCAGGAGGCCAGATGGGAGGGCTGTGCCTTGGTTCCCTGGAAGAGTTTTAGAGTCATAGATTCCTGGATCCCTAGAACTTAAAGCACAGTTTCTGAGGCAGGGGCATTGGGATTTGGGGAAGCTGGTGAGCCTGAAAGAGACCCCTCTATCTCCCTAGTTCACAGACGAGGAGACCGAGGCCCAGACAGGGGAAGGAAGTTGGCCCAGGTCACCCAGCAAGTCAGTGGTAGAGGTAGGACTGTCCCTAAGTCCTTCCCCGCCAGAATATCAGGTCCCCCCCCCCAGTCAGAAGGGGACCCCAGTTCCCCCCCTCTCCTCCCTCTCCCCTCCCCCTCCCCCATCATCTCTGCTCAGGCTCACACAAGGACTTTAATTATTGTATAAAAGTGCCGCTTGCTGGGACAGGGAAGCTAGCCGAGATTTAAGTTCCTGAGCCCAGAGCAGCGGCCTCTCTGGGGGCGTCTGGGGTGGGTTCAAGGGCAAGGCCAGGGTGGCAGCAGCCTGGTGGACTCCGGGCTGGCTCCCTCCCCATGGGACTGGTGAGAGCCCCAGGTGGTCTCTAACCCCTGCCTGTCTCCCCTCTCCTCTTCCCCAGGGCATCTCCTCCCAGCCAGGCAACTCCCCAAGCGGCACAGTGGTGTGAAGCCGTGGATGTTGGGGTCCCCCCACACCACGCCCCCAGCCTCCTAGTGTAACCCTTCCCGCTGACCTCACGGATCAACGTATTAACAAGACTAACCATGACAGATGGACTGCTCCGGTCCTTCGCCCTGCACCGATATGGGGGTAGATGGTCCCTCAGACTGGCCCAGACACTGGGGGGATGTAGTGGCCTGTGTGGCCTCCGCCTTGTCCCCACCCACTGCCAAGTACAATGACCCCTTCCTCTGAGACATCAGTGTTAGCCTCCCTGTCCCCAGCATGTGACTGGTCACTCCTGGGGGAGAAACCGCCCCCCACAAGAGCCCCAGCTCTGCAGCGTGCCCCTCCGACCTGTGCGAGGGTCAGGGGGTGGCCCACCCCTCCCCTGGCCCCAGCCCTGCCCCTGCTATTCCTTGTGCTTTGGAAGAGTGTTAAATTATGGAAGCCCCTTGGGGCCCTCCCTGTCCCCCAGGACCTCTTATTTATACTAAAGTTCCCTGTTTTCACTGCGTCTCTGTTCCCTTCCACGGAGGTGTGGAGGAAGTGTGTGTGTGTGTTTTCAGCACAGTCCTAGAATCAGTCCACTTTATGCAGAGGAAGAGCTAGGTCAAGCCTCCCCCAAACCCCCTTTCGATGGCAGAAAAAACTGATGACCGGAGGAGGGCGGTGCTGGGGGCACAGAGCTGGTGAGTCAGTTGCCGGCCAGCTGGGGGCAGGGCCCATCAGATGGGAAGGATCCCTCACACCGCCCCCCCCAAACTCTCAGAGGGAAGGGAGCCGCCAGGACCCCTTCAAGGTCTTCAGTGGGCGTTTTTAATGTTTCCTTTTCAAAGTGTCCAAATCAGAAGTGACAGGGGTCCCCAGGGAGCCCCTGTGGTCCCCGAGTGACCTGCCGCCAGCACAAGCCTTGGCCTCATGCTGGCTCGGCCAAGGGCCCCAGCGTCCAGGGCCGACCAGAGACCATGGTTTCCTCCGGGAGGCCTGTCCACCCTGGAAAGAACAACGAAAATCCCTCCTGGCGGCTCTCTGGAGCCACAGGGAATGGTGTCTTCCCGCTCCGCCCTCCACCCCCCGAAATGTTTCTGTTTCTAATCCTAGCCTGGGCAGGAATGTGGCTGTGCAGCCAGGGTCCAGGGAGCTATTTTGGGGGCTCCTTTGGCTCCCCCCTGGCTTTGGCCAGTGGGTCACCCCTGGTCCTGGCTGCTGAGGCCTCCATTCCCGATTCTCTCACCACCCCTTCCCCACCTCCTGCCAAAAAAAAAAAAAGTCAGTGTAAAACAGAGGGCCTGAGGGCTAAATTTAAACCGTCCCAAAGTCTGAATCCTTGGCTGAGTCACCCGCAAAGCTGCCCTGGCCTCCCGCCGCCCCCCTTCCCAGGCCTCACCCCCTTTTCTCCCCTCCCAGCTCCAGAGCTTGGGAGGGGTGTTACCAGATCACTCTGAACCTCAATTGGTCCCCTCCAGGGAATGGGAGGGCTCATCTGTGGCATGGGTCACACCTGTGCTGGGCCTTTTTGGTGGGGGGGGGTGGAGAGTTTGAGGGTTGAGATTCTCCCCCGCCTACCACCTCACGTTGAAGCTTTCTGAGGGGCCCGGGGAGGCGGGAGTAGGGGGGGCCCTGGCTCGTGAGGGGTTAAGGCCGGGAGGCTGGAGGGGGCCGGCCCGAGGGGTGGGGAGAAAGGGAGGAGGCCCTCGCAGCCAGTGGAGAGAAGTGGCCAGAGAGGCCCAGGGGACAGCCAGGGACAGGCAGACATGCGGCCGGGGCCTCCACAGGGCCCTTCCGGCCCCATAACGGGAGGACCCTGAGCCCCGGGCCCGGGGAGGGGGCCATGGTGCTGCCTGCCCGACATGTCAGCCGAGGTGCGGCTGAGGCGGCTCCAGCAGCTGGTGCTGGACCCCGGCTTCCTGGGGCTGGAGCCCCTGCTCGACCTTCTCCTGGGCGTCCACCAGGAGCTGGGCGCCTCCGACCTGGCCCAGGACAAGTATGTGGCCGACTTCTTGGAGTGGGGTGAGTGCCCACCTGCCTGCAGGAGCTTCTCCCACCCCCACCCCCACCCCTACCCCCGCTCATGTTTGGGGTTGGGGGTAGGGCAGAGGGAGGAGGTGAGTCTGGGCTGGTTGCTGGGGGCAGGATGGACATGGGGTGAGCCTCCCATTCAGGAGCCCAGAATTTGGGGCGATGTGCGCCTCCCCCTGTGCCCCACTGGGCAAGGCAGAGCGGGGTCAGCAGAGGCCAGGGTGACCATGACTCAGAACCAAGACTTGGGAGCCATGGTCAGCTGGGCCGGGCGCTGCCTCTTGTGGTCCCCCTGCACACCCTCCCCGAGTCTAGGCCTAGGGACTTGCTGGGGAGCCCTGTCTCCTAGGGAACTACCCCCCCCCCCCCCCCCGCACCACCAAAATGGGCTCTGTGGCCCTCCACCCTGCCAGAGTGCAGGGGGGAGCGGGAGGGACAGAACAGGGCAGCTGCCAGGGGCGCGGCCGATGGACAGGTGTTCGGCGCCAGCCTCTCCAGCTGTCCCAACAGGTGCCCAGGCCCTAGGAGGGCGCAGTGACTCAGGCCCCAGGGAGAACCAGCTTTCCAGACAGGCATCGCCCAGCACCCCCTGGTTGGGGAAGGAACAACCAGGGTTCTGCGAGGGCCCACTTCTCTGCAGGTTCCATGTTGCGCACACCCCCCCCCCNCCCCCCCCCGCGCCAAAGTCCCTTCTGGCTGAGTTCCCCCGGAGACAGGTCCGCAGGGTGGATGGTTCAGCTTCAGCCTCCTGCTTTGTCTGCCCTCGGCCCTTCCTGGCCTAGACTCTGGTGCACTCAGGTTTCTGTCTCTCTAACATCTGCCATTCTGGCCCTCAGTAGCCTGCTCCTGGTCACCTGTGTGTCCCTGCCCCCATCCCTGTGTCCTCTCTGCCTTCTGCTCCCTCTCGTGTCCATCTCTTTCTGACCCAGGCCTTGCTTCTCTCCTCCCCATTTTGCAGATGGGAAGGTGGAGGCCAAGTGCTTGACCACTTGACCTCTGGGAGAACCTTCTCCCCACATCCCCCCAGCCCTTAGTAACTCTCTCAGCCCGCTTCTTGCTGCAGGATAAACTGAGACCTGAGGCGGGGACAGGAATCAGCACTCTCGTAAGGAGCGCTCCTTTTGTGGCCCGGGCAGCATCCTGCGGCCCCTCCCCTGCCAGGCCGCCGGGGCGGGGGAGGGGGCCTGGGTTCCCGCTGCCTTAAAAGGGCTCAATGTCTTGGCTGTCTCCTCCCTCCCCCATCCTGGGCCCTGGCTGCTGCTTCCCGGCCAGCCCACTCTCCCTGAACCCCAAACCCTCTCCATAACCCACAGTATCTTCCTTTATCCTTAGCTGTACCCATCGCCCTCTCCCTCCTGCCTCGGAGGCTCCCAGCTTCTTCCAAGCCTCCCTCTCCCCCTGCCCCTGAGTCTCTTGCCTCCACCCTCTGCCCTCTCCCTCCCAGACTGCCCTCTGCCACATTGCTGGCTCTAGGACCTTGGGCAGAGGACTTCACCGATCTTGAGCTTTGGTTCCCCATCTGTAGATAAGGAGAGATAGTAAAACCTCCTTCTGGAGTTGAGAACACAGGATGCACTTGACCGAGTCTGCAGCACTGGTGCCCAGGCTGCAGGTCCACGGCTTCGTCTCCCTCTCCTGTTCCTTCTCCTGGCCCCAAGCCTGAACTCGGGATTTCCCAAAGTGTGGGCCACAAGCCACCTGCATCTGAGCCTAAGGTGCTGGATTAAATTGCAGGCTCTGGGCCATAACGCGACAGACTGAAGGAGAGAGTGCCCTGGGGTTGGGCCAGGTCACCAGGAGTAGGGACCGTTGCCCCAGGAGCTCTATGAACTGGGTCTGTTTCTTCTCTCTCTGTTCATCACAGCGTCCTTTCAGCAGACTTGTTACCTCAACCCGTTCATCCTGCACCCTGGAGAGCCCTCTGGCCTAATGTTCTGTCCCAGAAAGGGGTTCGCAGACATCACACCTCTCTCCATAGGAGGGTAGTTTAGGGCCCCCCAAACCTCACAAAACGTTTATGTGAAGACGGAGGCAGACAGCCCTAAGGAGAGAGGCAGGGACAGGGGACCGAGGGTGGGACTGCCTCGTCTCCAACGTCAGTCCCTGTGATTCTGGTTCCCTCCACGCCTCCAGTGGAGCCCATCGCGGCGAGGCTTAAGGAGGTCCGACTGCAGAGGGAGGACTTCGAGATTTTGAAGGTGATCGGACGCGGGGCGTTCAGCGAGGTGAGCCTGGAGCAGCCGGGGCTGGGACCTGCCTTTTCCTACAGTGGGCGGGGGACAAAGGAGTTCCGAGACAGGCCTGAGAAAGTGATGAATGACTGAGTTTACAGCCTAAGGCGGGGCTTGAGGCTAATGGGCGTGGCTTGTGGGCGTGGCCAAGTCTGGGCCGGGTTACCGGCGGAGTCCTATCCCGGCGAGCCCGGGTGTCTCCAGTTCACCTCTGCCCGGTTACCCTGTTTGGGCCTTCAGGTGGCGGTGGTGAAGATGAAGCAGACGGGCCAGGTGTACGCTATGAAGATCATGAATAAGTGGGACATGCTGAAGAGAGGCGAGGTGAGGGCCGGGCTGGGTGGGCAGGGTACTGAGAATCCCCTCTTGAGTCGGCCCCCTCCCCTGCCCGCTTCAGCTCCGGGTGTCCCGCAGGTGTCGTGCTTCCGCGAAGAGAGGGATGTGTTGGTGAATGGGGACCAGCGTTGGATCACGCAGCTGCACTTCGCCTTCCAGGACGAGAACTACCTGGTGAGCCCCTGACCGGGCAACTGTGGGCTCCATACTCTGGACATCGGGGAAGGTCTTTGGGTTTTTCTCCCTGACACTCTTGGTGGGGAGTGAATTTCTATCTAGTGACAACCTGGGGGAACGAGGATTGGGGGTGGGGGTGTCTATTTTGGCCTGGGAGATGTCTTGTGGCTGCGACTGCGGGGTCTCTGCCTAGGGATGGGGCGTCTCTGGGAGTCTTTGTCCCGGGATGTCAAGAGAATGGTGCCCAGGCGGGGTACCGACTCCCCATAACACGCCCCCTCCCAGTACCTTGTCATGGAGTACTACGTGGGCGGGGACCTGCTAACGCTGCTGAGCAAGTTTGGGGAGCGGATCCCGGCCGAGATGGCGCGCTTCTACCTGGCCGAGATTGTCATGGCCATAGACTCGGTGCACCGGCTGGGCTACGTGCACAGGTGGGCGCTGCCGGGACCGAGGGGCGCGGGAATTGGAGAGCCGTGATCCTTAAGAGGGTGGGGCCTGGTGAGACGACGGGAGGGAGGCTCACTTATCCCCCTTCCCTTTCCTTCTTCCCTCCACGCAGGGACATCAAACCGGACAACATCCTGCTGGACCGCTGCGGCCACATCCGCCTGGCTGACTTCGGCTCCTGCCTCAAGTTGCGGGCAGATGGAACGGTGAGCCGTGCGCCTGTCCTGGGGTAGCTCCGGTGACCAATAACGGGTGGGGTCGGGGTGGAGGGAGGAACTGGAGGTTCAGGGTGTGGGGGCGGGCCTGAGGCGTGCAGGCCGAGCCAGCGTGAGGGCTGGACCAGATCTGGAGGGGAGAGAGGAGACCCAGGCCTAAGCCTGCCTGTGTGGGCTCAGTGTTAGAACAGGCAGAAGGGGGAACTAAGCTGCAGGGTCGAGGTCAGGAGGAGGCGGAGTCAGAGGTAGGAGGGGCGGGGCCAAGCTCAGCTGTGGTCCTGTTGGCTCAGGTGCGGTCGCTGGTGGCTGTGGGCACCCCGGACTACTTGTCTCCCGAGATCCTGCAGGCGGTGGGCGGCGGGCCGGGGACTGGCAGCTACGGGCCCGAGTGTGACTGGTGGGCGCTGGGCGTGTTCGCCTATGAAATGTTCTACGGGCAGACGCCCTTCTACGCCGACTCCACGGCCGAGACCTACGGCAAGATCGTGCACTACAGGGTGAGCGCCTCCCGGGGAGCCCTTGACCTCTCCGCGAAGGCGCCCGGGTAACAGCCCCTCTTTTCCGCCCCTTCTGAGCAGGAGCACCTCTGTCTCCCGCTGGCCGACACAGGAGTCCCAGAGGAGGCTCGCGACCTCATCCAGCAGCTGCTGTGTCCCCCGGAGGTGCGCCTGGGCCGGAACGGAGCAGGGGATTTCCGGAAGCATCCTTTCTTCTTTGGCCTTGAATGGGACAGCCTCCGAGACAGCGTTCCCCCTTTCACGCCAGATTTCGAGGGTGCCACGGACACGTGCAACTTCGATATGGTGGAGGACGGGCTCACTGCCATGGTGAGCGGGGGCGGGGTAGGTACCTGCGACCCCAGCTCTGCAGAAGGTACCCCTCACCTCCACCACAACACTGAGGTTAGGAGAGTACCCTCCTCCTGGGGTCCTGAAATCACTGCTTCCCCAGAGCCCCTGCTCCTTGGGGGCCGAGTACTGGGAAGCCAGCAGTGACCTAGACTCACAGTCTAGTGGAAGACACAGACTTGTCCCTGACAGTGACGCCCCAGAGAGATCAGAGCTGAGACGGGCGGGGAGGTGTAGGGGGTTCGCCTCCTGATGCAGCATGAAAGGTCCTGGAGGGCTTCCTCCAGGAGGAAGGGGAGCCCCCTCCCCTTCTTGGAGGAGGGGGCTATGTGACCTGAGACCTGGAAGGATGAGAGGTAAGAAAGCACCATAAAGGAACCTCCCTCCCTCCCTTCCTCAGGGCTTCTCTCCCTCAGCTGTTGGTACAAGCTCCCCCAGGCTTGCTCTGTCTGACTGCCTTTGTGCTGGGCACTGCTGGGGACACTCCTGGACCAGATCAGCCCTGGTCCCTGCCCTCTACTCACAGTCTAGAGAAGATATACCTTTACTGTGGCAAGTGCCCTGAAGGAAGCAGCAGAATGTAATAAAATGATGTAGAGTCCACTTTAGATAGACCCAGGCTAGGGTGTGGGGGTGGTGGGCACTTAAGCCAACACTGGGAATGGGTGAGGGGCCAGCCTAACAGCTGCTGCTTACCTCACATCTGTGTTTCTCTTGCCTAGGAGACGCTGTCGGACATGCAGGAAGGCATGCCGCTGGGCGTCCACCTACCTTTCGTGGGCTACTCCTACTCCTGCATGGCCCTCAGGTAAGCGCGGCTCCTGTGCAGCCTGAGAGGAGTGGATGGGGGAGGGGGGAAGGCCCTCCCCCCGAAGAGGCCCCGGGGGGCTGCTCCAGGTTATCACATCCTGCCCTGATGGCACCCAGGAGACTTGTAGGGTCAATCTTGGAACCTTACTGTCTTGGGAAGTAAGGACTTTTAGGAGCCCAGAGTTGCAAGACCTTAAATTCTCAGACCACGAGAACTTTGAAATTTAGATTCAGTTGTTAAACCTCAGAGTCACAGGCTTGGCTTTGCAGAATCTTCTCACTTTCCACTTTTCAATGTCTAGTGTACAGTCATGGGACCTCACAGTCTTAGAAAATAAGGAGTTTAGAATTGTTAAGTCAGTCTTAAAAGAACACAGACTCACCGAATCACATAACCACAAAGCCTTTTTTAAACACTGATTCTGCGAATAATACATTTGCCTATCGCAAGTATATCAGAAAATACAAAGCCCGCCAGCAGCAGCGGTCCCTGGCTCACACACACACACCTCCTTAACAACTGTGGGAACATGCTGTATTCTAACCCGTTCTGTTATTGGACAATGTACTGCAAATGCCATTTCTTATCACAAACAAATTACCACACAATCCTGACCTGCTGGGGAGTGCTCTCCCCACTGGACCGGCAGGACTTAAGTCAACCAGCCTCTCTGTCCTGACCCAAGCTGGATGAACAGCCACGAATTGGTCTTCGCACAAGGTCTTTATCCTTGCCCAGGGTCATTGGGTCCTTGAGGCACAGTTCCATAAGAGGGACTGCTGGGTTGGAGGGAACATCACTTTTATTGCAATTTCATATTCCTTGGGAGGATCTGTCTTCCTCCCAGCGCCTGGGTCTGAGGGGGTGGGCTGCTGTCTACTGTCAGTCTTGGGATCCCACACCCAGTCTGAAGACCACCTCTTTGGAGGTTGCCAGAGCTGGGCAGTGTGCCCCTCACTTCTTAAGGAGAGGGGCCTGAGAAGGGCACATGGAGCAGAAGGGCAGATCCTAGAACATGGGTGTCTTGACCCCAGGTTCCCAAAGAAGGGAAACTCAGCTTCCAGGGGCCTGAGGCCATGCCAGGGGCTGGTCTTTTCCTAACAACAGGAGGACCTGTACCCCCCCACCCCCAGCCTGGCAATTTGCCCCCTTTACTCTGCTTCTCCCCCTCCTCAAACCACGGAGACTTCAGGTCTGGCTGCCCCAGGGCACAGGCTAGGGTGTCCTGGCTCTAAACCCAGGGGATCAGCAGCCTCTGGGGTGAGGCCTTGGCTCACCCTCCCACCCCTCAGCGTTCTCCTCTCCTCAGGGACGATGAGATCCCGGGCTCCACACCCATGGAACTGGAGGCCGAGCCATTGCCTGAGCCCAGCCTGGAGCCCTCAGTGCCCCCACCAGGGGAAACGGTGAGTCCCTGGAGGAGAGTCAGTGAGGGATGAGAAGGGGAGCCTTCAGGGATACAGTTCCCTGGGGACTTCCTCAACAGAAAGAGATGGAAGACAAAGTAGAGGCAAGGCTACTTGGGTCAGACGTGACCCTCACAAAGAAATTAGAACAGGTCACTGAGTTCTAATTTCTAATGCATGGAGGGGGACTCTCAAGGGAGGAGAAGCCCTGGAGAAGGAGAAGGACCACCCATGGGAGGAAAAGCAAAGAGAACCTTAAGAGTAAGGGCTCTGAGGTGGGAACCAGCTGATTGCTCTTAAATGTAAAAGGAGGGTACTAAGGCTTTACTGTTCCAGGAGAAAGGATGGTGACGAATGAGTAGTGAGGCGGCTGAGGCCAGCGGAGGCACACCAGACAGGGCCTTTCAGTGTGGTGTACCTCCTCCTGAGGGCTCTGAGGGGCTGGAGAAAATCTGTGCAGAGGAGGGACCTGGTCAAGTTGGGCAGTGTTGTAGGAACAGCCCTTTGGTTTTGGTGTGGATGGTGGATGGGAGGAGACCAGATTAAAGGCTGGAGATTAGTAGGACTGGGCTGCCATTAGCCCTCCAAAGGAGGGAGTCTGGATCACTGTGGAGCCATGGAGATTCCAGAAAGATCTAGGGGGTGCAGGAATAGATGTCAAGGGAGGATCCCAGTCCTGCAATCTATGCTCAAGTCTTGAATGCTCCCCAGGCCTCTGGTCGCCCTAAGCCCTGTTTCCATGCCCAGGTTGAAGCGGCAGTTCCGGAGACCATTCCGGAGGCAGTGGCAGAGCCGGAGGTGACGCTGCGGGAGCTCCAGGAGGCCCTGGAGGAGGAGGTGCTGACCCGGCAGAGCCTGAGCCAGGAGCTAGCGGCCATCCATAAGGCCAACCAGAACTTCGCCAGGTCGGGGTCGGGGCCCAGGGGAAGACACCAACTTTAGCAGCCTCTCTCGCCAGAGCCTCAAGGGCTTACGGTCCACACCTCTCCACAGTCAACTCCGTGAGGCCCAGGCTCGGAACCGCGACCTGGAGGCACACGTCCGGCAACTGCAGGAGCGGATGGAGTTGCTTCAGGCCGGGGGAGCCGCAGGCGAGTCCCTCACCCACCCCCTTCCCTGAGGCCCGGGGGAGGTGGGCCTGCGGCAGGTGTACACACCTGGGGGAGGGCGAGGGGCCAGGCTGGGGCACGCCGCGCCACCGCCCTCCTCGTCCCTCCACGCGCCCTACGCCTCTCTCTTCTCCTTCCAGCTGTCACGGGGGTCCCCAGTCCCCGGGCTACGGATCCACCTTCCCATGTAAGACCCCTCTTTTTCCCCTGCGTCAAGCCTGCTGCCCCTCTTTGCTGCCCCTGTCTCTGTCACCACGTACCCCCGTCCAGATTTAGGGCTCCCCTCTCTGTGGTTGCAGTCAGATAGCCTCCATTCACCCCACATCGACCAGATCTCCCTCGGTTTAGGCCTCTCACCGTATCCCCATTTGGGATATCCAATTCGGGGTCTCCCTAGATAACCCCTCCGACCTCGACTCCCCTCGCTGTCTCTCGCCCCACGCCGAGGGCGGCCGGGCCGAGCTGGGCTCAGATCGGGTCACCTGTCCCTTCTCTCTCCAGCTAGATGGCCCCCCGGCCGTGGCTCTGGGCCAATGCCCGCTGGTGGGGCCAGGCCCCATGCACCGCCGCCACCTGCTGCTCCCTGCCAGGGTACGTCCGGCTGCTCACGCCCGCCCAAGCTCCACGTACCCCAAGTCGCCTCTGCTTAGCAGCGCCTCTGCGGGGCTGGGCCAGCGGTGGGGAGGGGAGGATTCTCGGGCAGTCAATCAACACAGGTCTCTAGAAGCAGCCAGTAATGAGTTCGGACAAGACTTAGGTTTGCGAGCCGGCCAACCAGAGCTACCCGCGCTGTGAGGGGGGCGGGGCGGCTGCCGGGGGTTGTGGACCTCCTAGGCGTAGGCGGGGCAAGTCTTGGGAGCCAATCAGAGGCTCGTGTCGCTGGGTGCTGACCCTCGCCCTCTCCCTGCAGGTCCCTAGGCCTGACCTATCGGAGGCGCGTTCCTTGCTCCTGTTCGCCGCTGCTCTGGCTGTTGCCGCCGCCCTGGGCTGCATTGGGTTGGTGGCCTGCGCCAGCCATCTCGCCGCAGTCTGACCCCGTCGGGGAGCCGCCTTCTCCGCCTGAACCCTAGAACCCGAGCCTGTCCTACACTCGGGCTCTGCTGGAGGGTTGGGTTACCGAGGCAGGGCCCAGAAGCCCCTCCCATCTCCTCCCAGTTCACAACACTCCAAGCGTGGGTCTCCGCCCCAGCTTCAGCCCCGTGATCCGGGCCCGCCCCCTGGCGGCCGGGGAGGGAGGAGCCGGGGCTGCGGCTCCAGGGAGGTTTGTAGCGGGGAGTGCTGCTGCTGCTGCTGCTGCTGCTGCTGCTGCTGCTGCTGCTGCTGCTGCTGCTGCTGCTGCTGCTGCTGCTGGGGGGATCGCGGACCTCTTCCGCCTGCCTAGCTGAGGCCCCCGACGTGGATGGGCAAGCTGCGACCTAGAAAAGGCAGCAGGGCCAGGGCTCATCTGTTTCTCACCCTCCAGGCACCCCCCCCCCCCCATTGGCTCGCAAACCACAAATCCTCCTTGTGCATGAGGCCCCGCCCCCTCAGGAAGGCTCTCTTTCCGCCGCGAAAGTCTAGCGCAAGCTCCGCCTGCTTTCTTGGGAATCTTTGTTTTTGACAGCCCCGCTTTTTCGGGGATTCTCGCGCCCTCCTTCTCACGTGCGCTGCTCTCGGAGTCCAGCCGGCTCCGTCCGCCTCGGCAGTTTGGGTATTTATTGACCTTTCCTCTGACCCGCTGACAGGCTCCAGGACCCCAGCACCCTAATCCACTTTTTGGATGCACTGAGACCCCGACATTCCTCGATATTTATTGTCTTTCCCCACCTAGGACCCCCACCCCCGATCCTCGCGAATAAAAGGTCCTCCCGTCTGCCCAAAATTCTGAAATTCCTTGGGGTCCGCAGCTTGCGTCGAGGGCAAGAGGCTGCTCAGCAGGCCAATCGGAAGGCGAGCGGAGGCGGCCAATGGCCTGGCAGGAAGCTAGCGGGAGGCGAAGCGGACGAATCGGGTGGGGGTAGGGCTGGGGGCGTGGCCTAGGCACCCGGCCAATAGGAGAAGACGAGCAGGCCCCTCGGAGGCACCGCCCACTGTCCAGCTGTGGCCCAGCTGTGCCATTCGACCGCGTGGAAGAGGCGGGCTGGACTGGCAGCTAGTGCAGCCATCCTCCTACCATTGCGCCTGCGCGGGCCACGCGCATCCGTTCCAGAAACTTAGGCTCGAGAAAAGTTGCTGCAAACTTTCCAGCCCGTTTCCCCCGCCCCTTCTGCCAACCAGACCCGCCCCCCTGCGGAGCCGGGAATTCCGAGGGGCGGAGCGTGGGCCGAGATGGGGAGTGAGGGGGGCTTTCGGAGGACCCTGGAGACGGAGGCGTGCAGAAGCTTAGTCTCGGGGCAGAGGTGGCTTCGCGCCCTTAACCCTCCCGGACGGCCCGTTACCTTCTCCGTTGTCCCGATGGGGAAACTGAGGCCCTGAGCCAGAGGCACACGCGGGGGGACGCAAAAAGCGCGGCCTGAGGCGGAGGGAAAACAAAGGGAGAATCACGGACAGACGGGGAGGGGACCGGCACACACACAGACACTGGGACAGAGACCCTAGTAGAGAGCTGGGCCTCGCATCGGTGTTGAGGAGGGGAGACGCGGGTCGGCGGGAGAAGATCGGGAAGCACGAAGTAGGGGGTGGGGTGGGGTGGGGAGGGGAGACGGGCGGGGGAGGGGGCTGGGGAAAGCCCGAGGGAGGAGGAGAAGGAGGGAGGAACTTCCCAAAGTTGCAAAACATGGCTACCTTGCCTGCGGAGCCGAGCGCGGGGCCGGCGGCCGGGGGGGAGGCAGTGGTAGCGGCGGCGGCGGCGACCGAAGAGGAGGAGGAGGAAGCGCGCCAGCTCCTGCAGACTTTGCAGGCGGCCGAGGGTGAGGCGGCGGCGGCGGCCGGGGCCGGGGCGGGCGAAACGGCGGTGAAAGTGGAGGGCCCCGGATCCCCAGGCGTTCCCGGGTCGCCCCCCGAGGCCGCTGCCGAGCCGCCCACGGGGCTCCGCTTCTCGCCGGAGCAGGTGGCGTGCGTGTGTGAGGCGCTGCTACAGGCGGGCCACGCCGGCCGCTTGAGCCGCTTCCTGGGCGCACTGCCCCCGGCCGAGCGCCTACGTGGCAGCGATCCTGTGCTGCGCGCTCGGGCCCTGGTGGCTTTCCAGCGAGGCGAGTACGCCGAGCTCTACCGGCTGCTAGAGAGCCGCCCCTTCCCCGCCGCCCACCACGCCTTCCTTCAGGACCTCTACTTGCGCGCGCGCTACCACGAGGCCGAGCGGGCCCGCGGCCGTGCGCTGGGCGCGGTGGACAAGTACCGTCTGCGCAAGAAATTCCCGCTGCCCAAGACCATCTGGGACGGCGAGGAGACCGTCTATTGCTTCAAGGAGCGCTCCCGCGCCGCGCTGAAGGCCTGCTATCGCGGCAACCGCTACCCCACGCCGGACGAGAAGCGCCGCCTGGCCACGCTCACCGGCCTCTCGCTCACGCAAGTCAGCAACTGGTTCAAGAACCGACGACAGCGCGACCGGACCGGGGGCGGCGGCGGCGGCGCGCCCTGCAAGAGGTGAGGGGCCCGGGGCGGCGCCAGTCCGGCTTTCCCGGGGACGTACCCCCCTCTCCCAGGCCCGTTGTCCTCGGACACCCCCCGCTCACACCCTCAGGCGCCCGCCGAGCGCGAGGAATCCTCGTGGATTAACTAGGCACTCGCCCGGCCCTCCACCCTGACACCGCTGCTCCTCTCGCAGAGGCTGGGGAGACCGCCTCCCTCTACTCCACAAGCTCCGTCCCAGATCCCATCCGCGCCCGCGGCTAGACTTGGGGGCGGCATTGAGAAAAAGGGGCTGCGAGAAAGGAGAGGCCTTTGTCCTCGCTCCCGGGCGTAGGGGCTTCTTTAGGCCCCTTAGCGGCCAGTCCCTCCCTGACCGCGGCTGTCTCTTCGTTTCTCCCGCCCCCCCAGGGCCCAAACAGCGTGGTCCGTCGTCTGTCTTTGTTGTGAAACGTGAACCTTCCCCAGCTCTGGTTTCCTTGTAACCCAAGCCCTTCCCCTCCCACCCTGCGCTCCGGCCTCTCGCTCCTTCTCCGACGCCCGGGGGGGAGGGGAAGGGGGGGGGGGTTGGGCACCGGGAACTGAGCTGGCGACTCCCTCCTGTCTCCAGAGCCCCTCGGCTGTTTTCAGGCAGACTCTGGAGACTTCGGGCAGCCCGGTTGCTCAGCCTCCCGGACCCTAAAGCTGAGGAGTTGGGAGAGGAGGGCCCTTCTAACCCTCAGCGTTCAGCTTGAACCTTTGGGCATTGGTGTCAGAACCGGGCTTGCAGAGACTCCTCCCTGGGGTCTCAGAGAGGAGGTTTCATTAACTCCCTGAAATTGCCCACAAAATTTGGGGCTGGGGAACATGGGAAGGCAATGGGCGGCTTGTGCTTCCTCTGAGCACTTTGCCTCCAGCTCTTGGCAGGAATGGGGCTGACCTGTGGGGAAACACAACATGAGTCCACCACTCAAAATCCTCTCTCTGGCCAGCGAGTCTGATGGAAACCCCACTACGGAGGACGAGTCCAGCCGCAGTCCTGAGGACCTGGAGAGAGGGGCGGCTCCGGCGGCTGCTGAGGGCCCAGCGCCAGGCTCCATATTCCTGGCCGGGGCCGCCCCTCCCGCACCGTGCCCTGCCTCCTCCTCCATCCTGGTGAACGGGAGCTTCCTGGCGGCCGGCAGCTCTCCAGCAGTGCTCCTCAATGGGAGTCCCGTCATCATCAACAGCCTTGCACTGGGTGAGGCCTCCGGCCTGGGCCCCCTGCTGCTCACCGGGGGTGCCCCTGCTCCGCAGCCCAGCCCCCAAGGGGCCAACGAGGGCAAGACCTCCCTGGTCCTGGACCCTCAGACTGGGGAGGTTCGTCTGGAGGAGGCTCAGCCTGAAGCCCTGGAGACCAAGGGGGCTCAGGTGACTGCTTCAGGGCCGCCTGGAGAGGAGATCCCCGCGCCTCTGCCCCAAGTGGTGCCTGGCCCCCCTCCGGCAGCCACCTTTCCGCTGCCCCCAGGACCAGTGACTTCCATGGCTGCTCCCCAAGTGGTGCCACTTTCCCCGCCCCCTGGCTACCCTGCCGGCCTGGGCCCCACCTCCCCACTGCTGAACCTGCCCCAGGTGGTGCCCACCTCACAGGTGGTGACGCTGCCTCAGGCTGTGGGGCCGCTGCAGCTGTTGGCAGCTGGGCCAGGCAGCCCAGTGAAGGTGGCCGGTGCCTCAGGCCCTGCCAACGTGCACCTAATAAACTCCGGCGTGGGCGTGACTGCGCTGCAGCTGCCTTCGGCCACTACCCCAGGTAACCCCTTCTGGTGGCTGGGTGGGGGGTGCACTTATTTTGGGGAGGGGGTTGCTGCTGGTGGGCTTCCTGGGGCCGCAGTGGGGGGAGGGGAGCTGTTCCCTGGCGGGTCCCAGACCCTCCTGAGGCTCAGGCCAGGAAGACTTGGCCTTACTCTGACCCTGAAGGGGCTCCTTTTGCCTCTGGTTAATCCCCCTGCCTGCCCTCCAGCAGCTTCATCCTCACCTGGGCGCCTGGCCTCCCTCCTCTCCCTACAGGAAACTTCCTGCTGGCCAACCCCGTGTCTGGCAGCCCCATTGTGACAGGTGTGGCCGTCCAGCAGGGCAAGATCATCCTCACCGCCACTTTCCCCACCAGCATGCTGGTCTCCCAGGTCCTGCCACCCGCCCCCAGCCTGGCCCTGCCCCTGAAGCCGGACACAGCCATCTCAGTGCCTGAAGGAGCCCTCCCAGTGGCCACCAGCCCCGCTCTTCCGGAGGCCCACGCCTTAGGCGCACTTCCTGCGCAGCAGCCATCCCAGCCGCCCCCCGCCGCCGCCACCGCCCCCAGCCTACCCTTCTCCCCGGACTCCTCTGGCCTCCTGCCGGGCTTCCCGGCGCCCCCACCCGAGGGGCTGCTGCTGTCGCCTGCGGCCGTGCCCATCTGGCCGGCCGGGCTGGAACTGAGCGCTGGCACTGAGGGGCTGCTGGAGGAAGAGAAGGGGCTGGGGACACAGGCCCCCCATACCGTGCTGAGGCTGCCAGACCCTGACCCCGAGGGGATGCTCCTGGGGGCCACCGCAGGGGGCGAGGTGGACGAGGGGCTGGAAGCCGAGACCAAGGTCCTGACGCAGCTACAGTCAGTGCCTGTGGAAGAGCCCTTGGAACTGTGACCCGCCGGCCCCCAGGCCTCCCCTGACAATGGTGCTCGAAATCCAGGCCGGGAGGAGGGACCCTCTCATAAACACAGAGGCTGCCGTCTACCCACACACACTACACCCTCCCCGGCTGCTCAACCTCTCCGTGCCCTGGAGGGTCCACTCCTCGGACAGGATGCTGCCTCTGTTACAGCCCTCTCCTTGGTCTATATGGGGAGAATTGGGGGTCCTGACTCGGGGGCTCTGCCCCCCCCCCGACCTGGTACTAGCTGTGAGCTGAAAGCCCTGCCGAGCGGCTGAATTTCCCCCTTCCCCCCACCCCCAGCCCTCTCCCTATCACTCCCTGAAACACTTTTTTTTCCTGAAACACTATTAATAGCTCCACTGACGGCCAGCATTCTCAGAACTGCTTAGAATCCAAGGGTGGAGGACGGGCAGTCCTGTGCCCAGAGACTCCTGGACCCTCCCAGCTGGGCCCTTCCTGCCCACAGGTGTGGGGGGTGTGGGCCAGGGTCCTTGGTTAGCACCTCCTGGACTAGAACCCCAGGTACCTTGTTCAGCCCCAGACCAAAGATCCCCGACTGCCGGGGCAACCCTGACCCCTGTGTCTAGTTTGTATCCTAAATCTTTATTTTTCTAGATGTGTTATGCCTTCATTTCCATTAAAATAAACAGACAACTAGAACCTCCGGGGGTGTGGGTTACCTTCCAACAACTTGCCCAAGGAAAAGCTAAAGGACAGACAGCGCACCTTGAGTTTCTGGCTTTGTGATCCATGCTCCCTGAGAGGGGACAGGCCTGCCTGGAGGTCACACTGGAGGAGCTGTTTGGGAAGGTGTCTGCAGAGAACAGAGCTGAGGAAGAGGGCCCAGGGCAGCTGGCCTTGTCTCTTGCTAGTAACAGTTTTATTTCATTGAAAATAATAAATAATCTATAAATAGGGTAGGAGGAGGAAAGTGAGGTGAGATTGAACAGGGTGGAAAGCATTAGATTCTGGGCTGGGCAGTGGACAGGCAGAGGAAAACTTCACCTCCCTGCATTTCATTCGGGTGGGAGGAGGGCTCCTTTCACCTTCTCTCTGGCTTCTCTGATTCGCCCACCCAGGGTAGAAGGGGGCTGTGAGAGGCTTGCCAGCCTCAGGGCAGAAGTTCAGACTGCCCCATACAAGGCAAACACAAAGCATCGGGATCAATAAATAACGCTGCCTGCCAACCTGGGGGGACCTGCACTAGCGGGGGTGAGGCCCAGGAAACCATCACAGGTTCCTGGTTTCAACAGCAGCAGGGCCCAAGGGAGGGTGCGGCACCCTCACTCTTGCTGAGGAGACTCCGGAGAGACTGGGTCTGGGGAGCCTCGGGCCTTCTCGGCCAACAGCTGGTAGAAGGGTTTGGGGGTCTCCCAGTCCTCGTCCTCGCTGCTGGAGCTGTCCTGCTTCACGATCCGGTTGTGCTGGCGGCTGAACCTGCGCGCCTTGGTGCTGGGGGAGAGGTGGCAGGATGGGTGGGTTTCTCTCGTCTCACCTCCGTCCCACCCCCGGTGCTCTGGGCTCAGTAGTGACCAGGGTCTGGGCTGGGGACGGCCAGGGCTTTATTGGCTCCACCAGGAAAGTGCTGGCTCCTTGGAGACCTGTTAAGATCTGTGCATGCGCTTGTTTTTCCAGAGAGGGGCAACTGAGGACTGGGCAGGTGGCAGCAATTTGAAGTTGGTGGAGAAAAGGGGTTTCAGGAGGGAGGGGGCATTGAGATGGGTAGAAGAGGAGGAGGCCAAGCTACAGGGAGTTAAGACAGTTTCCTGCTCTGAGAAACTCTGAAGCAGAAAGTGCAAAGGAAGTCTAGGGCCAAGGGGGTCCAAATTAAGAATTCAGCTATTTGCCCTTCTAAGTTCCAGGCAGGGGTAGAGCACCCTTCTGCTTCTGTCCCCCAACTCTTCCATAAAATTTGGTGACACCCAGATCTCCCGCCCGAGGAAACTCCCACCCTGTTTCCAACATCACGAAGCTCAAGGCTCTGATGATTTTCAGAGGAGCAGGGAGGGCCCTTGTGTCCACCACCCACACCTTCTGGGCAGGAGCTTCTTACCAGTATGGTTTTCGCTCCTGCAGGGTCATCACCCGCCAGAGTTGAGCCAGCTCCTTGGTGGCAGCCGTGGATGCGGTCCCAGGGCAGGCTCTGTGGCAGGAGTGGGGAGGAGGTGAGGAGGTGCCTGCAGCCCTGCCTGGCTTGGGCAAAGGCCAACCACATGAGGGGCCCTGGCCCTCCCAGAGCCTCGACTTTCCCATCTGAGAACTCAGATCTTCCCGTGTTGCCCAGAAAGGCTTCCCTTTCATGCCCCCTGGAACAGAGGTGACAGAGGAGGGATCTCGACTAAAGGGTGGCTGGAGAGGGGCCACCCAGTGTCCCGGGATCTGCATCTGCCGCTCTGATAGGAGCACCAGCTCTTCTCCCCTGAGGCTTGAGGGGTCTCCCCCACCTGTGCCCCCAGCTGCAGGCTGGCAATGATTGTTCAGGGTTGGGCGCTTGACAGATCCCATCAAGTTCAGCCCCAAGAACTTCTGCTTGAAATCTTAGAAATGAGGCACTGTCTTCCCACAGGGTTGCTGGGGTGGGTGGGAGACAGGACAGCCTGACGCTCCTAGGTAGGGGTGAGCCTGCTCCCAACCTGGCCCAGCAGGGATGGAGCTCGAAGCCGAGAGGAATACAGAGTCCAGAAAAGGGTGAAGATCCAAGAGCATCACAGGAGTCCCAGGACCAGCCACGGCTGAAGGTGGAGCCTCTTTTTCAGATTATAGTAATTAATTAATTATATTAATCAGTTATATCAATTATATAAGTTAATATTTGCCAATTAATTTCCTTTTTTTCATAAGTCTGAGGCGAGTTTCACTGCCTATGATGCACGGGGCCAGGGGAGGCGGGGGCGAGTGTGGCGGGCGAGCGTGTCAGCAGCAGCGGGTGGCCTAGCCCTGAGAGTGGGTGGACAGTGAAGCAGGGCCCCTGTCAGGGCAGAAGAGGACGCCTACCCACCGGATGTACTGCTTCCGGTTCATCCTGCAGAACATGATGAAGCCGTTGACACACTTCTTCTTCATCTGGGGGGTGCCAGGGGCTTTCTTGCTCCCCTTGGACTTGGAGGGACGCCGGCTGGCCCGGCCCTTCCTGGCCTTCCTCCCGGCTGTGGGCAGGAGTGAGATCCGCCGGGTAGGGGTCCACGTGTAGTCCCCATCGTCGCTGGAGGACTGCAGGTCCTCGAGGTCACCCTGAGTGTCCTGCAGGGGGCATAGAGAGGTGAAGGGGGTGTAGGTGAGGGTAGGCAGGAGACCTGGACTGACCCAGCCGATGGCTGTCCGTCTCCCTCACCTCCTGCTGCCTCCACACTGAGTTTGTGTCCATGTCCTCCGAGCCGGGGCTGGATGGCACCTTGCTGTTTTCACTCAGCGAGAGGTAGCAGTGGTCCAGTGAGACCGAGGACTGGCACAGGTCATGGGAGTTGGAGGGGTCTTTGGGGACCTCAGGGGGCGTGTCCTGGGACATGAAGGAGAAAGACAGGAGGAGATGGACAGAGGGGGGCAGTGGTGTCCCTTCATGGCCCCCACTCGCGGCTCTCCTGGGATGTCACACGAGCATCGGAAACAGCTCAGGTTCAAAACAGCCTCGTCCAGACACCACCTCAGAAGTTCAAGCAAAGGTTCCCCAGTTCCCACAGTGGATCAGGGAAGAGGTGGACTGGGGGCTTCTGTCTCCTATTCTGGGGCTCTCCCTCACAATTCCCCTGTGAGGGAGCTGGCACACCGTAGGCAAGTTTTAACTCCCCTGAGCGTGTTTCATCCACGATGGTATCACCACACATCCCCTGCCAGGCCAGGCCAGCGTTTATAAAAGCTCGGCTAACGGTGTCTCTGTTTCTGCGGTGAAATCAGCTACTTGTTGAGGCAGCGGCCACCTTCCCACACATGGAGGGAGAACCATTTGAGGACCAGAGCCGGGCTGCTCCTCTTGTCAGTCGGAGGTTGAGCTGCTGGAGCAGACGGTGCTCCGGAGGTCAGCTCTGGGGCCTGGGAGGGAGGCTCTTTCACACCGAGGATCCCAGAGGTCACCTGCTGTTTTCAGTTTCCTCACGGGTTAAATGGTGTCACAAGAGAGCCTACCCCATAGAGCAGTCATAAGATTATGTGGGGTCTTTTCTGGGCACCTGGCAGCTTTTAGATTTATTCTTTACAGGGGGTTCATTCCAAGGGCCCAACACAGAGCAGGGCGCCTGGTGGCCAGCAGGTAGGTTAGGGCACAGATGGGTGGGTGAGTCTCTGGAAGGACCAGGAGAAGCATGATGGACAGACAGCTGAGTTGAGGGGTTGGGGGTGACTGAAAGGTCAAGAGGACGGATGAGTGAATCAAACTGGTGGGAAGAAGGATGGACAGGTGTGTGGACAGGTGTGCGGGCAGACACCTACCTTCTGTGGATCCTCGAAGATGCAGGCAGAAGGTGAATATGCAGGATCTAACAGTATTTCCTCAAAGAGAGCTGTCAGGGACAGAGAGGGAGACCAGAAGGGTGGCTGGGACAGAAGCGCCTCTCTCAGGGCACCAGGCCGCTGTCCTGCCGTCCTCATAGCTGAAGGGCCCTTCTCTGGCTGTGAGCTTTGGGCTCTTCTGCCCAAGTCCAAGTCCAGTTCACAGTCCAGCTCCTGTGGGGGACCTCCAGCCTGGGCAGAGTGAGTAGGTCCCTACCATAGGGTCCCGGAGCCTCCCCTGCACCAGGCTGGCCTGGAGCGACTCCTCACCAGGCTGTGGGCTCCAGGGATGGGATGGGATTTGTGCTGGGAGGATTCACTCCCGGGTATCCAGTGCTGCCCAGCAAAGGGCTACACACTTGGGCTTTTTCTTTCTCAGTGAACCAAACCTCAGGTCCAGCCCTGGGTGCTCACCTTGGGTCAGGTACTCATTGCCGTCCTCCAGGATCTGTTCGGGCAGCAGTTTCCCTGGGGAGCTGAAGAGGGAGGGGCTGAGCCCTAGGATCTCCTTCAGGGGGTCTGTCTCGATCTCGTTGGTAATCTGGGGAAGCCCCAAGGCCAGTGGGCTCTCTGAAAAGGAAATGTCAGGCTTGAGGGTGTGTCAGGCATTGTCATCTCCCAGGACAGAGCAGCTGGCTTTGAGGAGATGGTGCCCCACACTGGGGAAAGATGACTCTGTCACTTCCTCATTGTGAGTGCTTAGAAGAGGAAATTAACAGGCGCAGTGCCTGGATTCATGTTGGTGGTGGTGGTGGTTTAGTTCCTAAGTCATGCAGACTCTTTGTGACCCCATGGACTGTAGCCTGTCAGGCTCCTCTGTCCATGAGATTTTCCAGTCAGGAATACTGGAACAGGTTGCCTATTTCCTTCTCAAGGGGAATCTTCCCAACCCAGGGATCAAACCCGCCTCTCCTGCTTGGCAGGCATGTTCTTTCCCACTGAGTCACCAGGGAAGCCCAGAATTATGTTAGAGATGGCATATATAAATATAAATATATATACATATATATATGTATATGATGTGCCAGATCCAACAGACTGATATGAGCTAGCTGGAGCTCTGTATTAAGATTCTGAAGTAGTTTCTGGGATCAAGAGAAAGAGTTAGGATTGATTAGCAACGTCTGCCATGGCAACCGATGGCTGGGGACAGCGAGTGCACTGTGTCCGTGCTTAGCGGACATCCATCCCTCTCCCACTTCCCCCTTCCCTGGACATCCTCAGAACGAAGGTACCAAGAAGGCCCCACACCCACCTACAAGGGGGAGAGACAGAGTTTCAGTCACCTTGGGGGCTGCCCTCTGCAGTCCAGGCAGGAAGCCAAGGGTCGGCATTTGGAGACTCCTTGCCCACCTCCTTGCCAGAATCATAGAACACCAGCTTCTCCCTGCAAAAGGTGGAATTCAAGAGGCAGACCTGGGGCCCTGGCTGGAAATACTGTGGCACACAGAGCGAGCCCTTGCCCTCTGGGTGTCTCAGTGTTGCCCACTGTGGAGTAAGACAGGGATGGCTCTGTGCCCGCTGCTGGGGGAGTGCCAGGGGCAGAAACCTTAGTCAGCTGAGGTGCCCACCCTTAGGGAGCTTCAGGGCTTGTGACGAGAGGCCAGCTGTCATCAGAGCTGATGACGGGGGGCAGAGCTGGGAGAGGGGTTTGAGGAGGAAGGGAGAAGATGGGCAGGGTAGGACAGAGAACCATGCTGAGCTAGAAGGATAGGTAGAAGGATGGGTAGTTCCTTCCAGGTGGACGAGGGGAACAGGCTTCCTGGAAGAGGGAACCAAGGATGAGAAGCCCAGGGGGACACGGGTGGGCCTCCTTCCAAAGTGGTGAATATTTAGTGGTAAGGATAAGATTCACAGGGGAGGGGCTAGCAAGGTGAGCTGGGGCAAGAGAGGATCTCAAATACAAATTAAGATATCTGTGCGCTACCCAATAAGATGGAGCAGCCTAAAGCCAAAACCCAACATGATCAAAGACTCTGCGTTAAAAAAGCCACGCGGGTGACTGGTGTTGACAGGCTAGAAGGGTAGGACAGGAGGCCAGGGAGGGGCTGCGGCCCTTGTCAGCACAAGAAGCAGGGCTTTCCTTTGGGCTCCCAATGCCTGGTGCAAAGCTAGGCCCTCAGATGTGGTTACCCCAGATACCAGCAGAGGGTGGAAATTGACCCCATTTCTCCCCAGGCCTTAGCCATTCCCCTGGAACATGTCAGCTCCCCAACTCATATCCCCTGAGCTTCCCTTACCTGGGACCAGGCGGGGTCTTGTTGAGAAAATGGATCATCTTGACCCCTTGCTGGGCTTCAAAAGCAGGATAAGACCCCAAATCCTGAGTATCATCTTTTACACAGCAGCCTACGGGGGCAAGTTGGGATGGTCACTCCTGTGACTGGGCCAGATGCCAGGGCTCACAGGGACACAGATGGAGAGGTGCCAGGGTCTCCCACAGCCTCTGCCTACCCCCGCTCCAGCCAAAACCTCAGGCTGGGGGCGGGGACTCTGAGTGAGGTTTGAAAGTGAAGGTGTTAGTTTTTCAGTTGTGTCTGACTCTTTGTGACCCCATGGACTGTAGCCCGCAAGGCTCCTCTGTCTGTGGAATTCTCCAGGCAGGAATACTGGAGTGGGTTGCCATTCCCTCCTCCAGAGGATCTTCCCAATCCAGGGATCAAACTTGGGTCTCCTGCATTGCAGGTAGACCATCTGAGCCACAGGGTACCCTGAATCACCCCCAGATTTCTGGAATCCTACATCTCTATTAGAAGCTCTAAGGAAGATAAAATATTTAAGTTCAATAATGATGATGAAGATGATGGTAGCAAACAAGTATATAGTACTTACCATGGCAGCATAGTTTTAATCATTTTACATACTACTCAGCACCCCTTTGCAAAGGATATGGTTATTATACTACCCAGTTACAGTTCAGTAAACAGAGGCACTGAGCTCTAAAGAAACTTGCCCAAGGTCACAAGATTAGCAGATGATCTGGGACACCCACCACTCATGGGTGACCCCAGGAAGTGAGCATATGGGATCACCGGGCGGTCACTAGCACCATGCCTGTGGCCTGGCCCAGAGGATAGGCTCTGAGAGGAAGGGCTGAATCAATGGGCAGAGGAAGAGGATGACCCGAGGCTTCGCCTTCCAGTTGTGCCCATGTCTGCTGGGGGTGTCACACCTTTGCAAGCTGGCTCGCAGGAGCATTTGTCTGGCTGCTTCAAGGGAAAGGAAGCTCAGTAGGAGGCCCGACTCTTGCCCCCAGTTCTGTGAACTGCAGCCCTCACATGAGGGCTGCACTGATCCTGTCCCCCGCCTTACACCCACAGCCAAGCCTGAAGGGAAAAGGAAACTGGGAAAGAGGCCAAGAGACGGCACCTCTCTTGTCCACGGTCCAATCCCTGGCTTCTAGGACTGTTTCCAGGACGCCAGGGGGTGCCTGATCAGTGGTGTATAAACAACTGGCTAAGTTAGTGGAGAGGAAAGAGACCAACTTGAGATGTCACAATGGACGCTGTTCTCAGCCACATCCAGCAATGTCAGCTGGCATCTTCCTCCCTTTCTGTCACCTTGAGATGAGGATGTCTCAGCCTTGGGGAGATTGCAGGAGTCCCAGCATCTTGGAGGGGTGATGGTCTCCACCATGTTTCCTCCTTTCTGGTCTGGAGATGGGGTCTCCAGCTTCTCAGGCTTCTCCAGGGCCAGACAACGACGAGGGTTCTGGGCCCGGGTCTGGCATTCTTGGAGAGGAGAGAGATGGCATCAGACAGGGCTGGTGGGGGCAGGGGAGCTGTCTCCAGAAGGTGGTTGGGGTTGGGGTGGAGACATTCTGCTCTGACCCCAACGACCTGCTTCAAAGCTTTGCCTGGCTGGGTCACTCAGTCCTTCTCAGGTAAGCCCAGATCCTCAAATAAAGACCATCTAGTCCGATACCCCCTTCCTCTGCCTACATGTTAGAATCACTTTGAGAATTCTGAAAAATACTGATGCCCAGGTTCCACCCAGATCACTGAAGCCCAGTGTTCTGCGTGGGAGGCACAGGCAGGGGCATTTTTTAAAGCATCCCAGTGATTCAGATGTGCAGCCAGGGCTGGAAATCATTGATTAGGTCCGACTCCTCCCACCCTTTTTTTAAAGCTAGGTCATGTGGCATGCAGGATCTTAGTTCCTCAACCAGGGATTGAACCAGTGCCCCCTGAATTGAAAGTGTGGAATCTTAACCTCTAGAACACCAGGGAAGTCCCCCAACTCCCTTTTTAAAGACATGGAAAATGGGCCTCAAAAAGGGGAAGAGACAGGTAGTGAGTTAGTAGCAAGGCTGAGGTGGGACTTGGGACCCTCACCTCCCACACAGGGTCCTTCCATCACCCATGCACCCTGCTGCCCTGGCCTAGGGATGGATGATAGGACAGAGGGATGATAAATGCTGACAGCAGATTCCATTTGCTGGGCACTGGCTACATGCCCCGCCATTTAAGCACTCCTTGAGTGGTGTGCACATGGGCTCCTCATCCTGAAGACCACCTTGTGGCGGGCACTCCAATATCCAGACCAGGAAACAGAGGCTCAGAGGATGAGTGACCCCACCCCCACCCCACCGCCGCCACCCCAGGCCTCAGAGCTAGGAAGAGGAGGGCACGAGGAGTTGAACCGAGTCACGTCTGAATCTAGAGCCTGGTGCAGGCTCAGGATTGCTGACTGGGCCTCCCTGGAGTGGTGACGGCCCTGGAGATGGAGCCCCATTCCTGTGGGACTCCTGCTTCCTGTTCTACTGCAGGCTTGTACCTGACACTCGGGTTGGCTTTTTCTTCCGAGGTTTTCGGCATGCTCCCCAAAGACGGGACTTCTGAGAGTGTGGGGAGCTGGACGGGGTGGAGAGTCTCTGCTTTGCAGAGCCTGCAGCAGGGTTCCAACCCAGCCCTGCAGAAGATGGAGAAGGAGGCAGGTCAGATGGTCTCACCCTTGTCCAGCCTGAGTCCTGCCTCTGGACAATGCTTCCCACTGGACAGGGGGAGGGAGGCTGCTGCAGTCCCCAGATGGACTTTGTAAAAGTGGAAACTGAGGTCCTGGGAGGAGATGGGATTTGTCTGAGGTTTCACAGCCAGGTAGCAGAAGTACAGGTGAAAACTCAAGTGTCTGCAGGTCCATTCCGGGCCTCAGCCCAGACAGAAGACTGACTCAACGCTTCCCAAATGCTTACCCGTCTTCCCCTCCCAAACCAATTCCTCTCCCTACCTCCTCAAGATGGTGGGGGCTCCAGCATCCACCCCAGGTGGCCCGCGGCCTCTGCTCCAGGGCTCTCAGTTCTTCCTTGTGAACATCTCCCAAACTGACCCTCTTCAGCCCACACTCTCAGCCGTGCTGCTACCTTTGCTTGTGGTCTCCTGCCCAGGTCCCTCCCAGAAGTGTCTCCGCTGGTCTCCCCGACTCCAGTTTCTTACTTAATGACCAGTCCCCCACACTAGATGTCAGGGACCTCTTCCTAAACAGCCACTCTGATGGTGGTTTTCCTCTGGCTTACAGTTCTTCAGTCATTTTCATCCTCTCTATCTCCCTCCCGAGCCAGGCTCTCGAGGCCCTTCAGAATCTCATCTCTGCCTCATTTCCTCCCTTCTTGCCGGGGTATTTCTCATACCAGTAACAACAACACCCAGCATACACAATGTAGAACGACTGGCATGTTCCAGGTACTGTGTGACAACACTCCTTGCGTGTATTAACTCATTTAATTCTCACAACAAACAGAAAGGAAGTACTCTTACTGGTCCATTTTGCAGATGAGGGAACTGAGGCTCAGAGCAGTTTAGGTCATGAGACACATGTGTCTGAGTCTGGACCTGGCTCCGGAGTCTGTGCACGTCATCTGGGTGCTACACGGCCCCTCCAGTCACACCCGAAGGCTTGCCTGTTCCCAGACCTTCCATTTGTGTCTTCTTGTGCCTGTGGGCTCCTGCTCACATTGTTTCTTGTTTGCCTGGCATGGTGCCCCCCTGTCCTTGAAGGCCCGCTCCAAGGGCCCTCCCCCCACAGGCTTTCCAAGACGCCCTCCTCTGGGGTCACAGCACCTTGGACACATGCCAGGCTGTGAGATCCGGGGAGGATGGGAACCATCTAGGTCACTTCAGCATCCTCGACAGCCTGGACGTAGCAGGCACGGGGAACGTCGGCTGTGCTTACTTACCCCCGAGGCCGCCTTGCCCATGGGTGGTGTGGAGTTGGAGCAAGGCCTTGGCCACACTGATGCAGCTCTGTAGGTAGTGAATGTACTGCAGGACGTGCAAGAGAATCTCCTTCTGCTCCCAAAAGAAAGACGGGGTTGAGTGGGTGCTCGAGACCACGTGAGGCTGCTGGGGACCAGGGACAGTCAGGCTCTAGGACCCCTGGGGCCCCACCCCAGCAATCCACCTGCCATGGGCAGAGACGTTCCTATTGTGCTCTTCAGTCCTCACCGTGGCCCAGGGAGCCAACGGTTACAGCTATGAAGACAAGCCCAGGGCGCTGAAGGGATCGCTGGGTTATAGAGAGGGCGTGGCCGAACTGAGGTGTGAAGCTAGGCCTGCCTGCCTCCCGGTGAGGTTTGGGGGGCACAGGCTGCTGTGCCCCTTCTCCTCCCTGGCTTCTCTTTCTTTGAGCCTCGGTACAGCGTTCCCTGCCTTCCAGAAGCTTTCCTGACCTTCTGACCCCACATCTAGACTGTTCAGATGTCCCTCCTCAGCACTCCTGTGACACCCTGGGCCTGTTTCCACCAAGGCACTTGCCACACTGTTTTGTAATTATCCGTTGATGTGTCATTCTCTCCCATTGACCTTGAACCCATTGAGAGTAAGAGAATGTAGCTGATGGATTTCTGGATCCTGAGCACACAGAACGGAGAGGTGATGGAGCCAGTCATCACTGAAGGAATGACTCTTCCCCCATAGCAGCAGTGGGCATTCCCCATGCAGCCACTAAGTCGAGGCTGAGTTGACATGGGAGATACTAAGCTAAAAAAGATACCAGCCACTAAGCCACAAGAAGGGTGAACTACACAAACTTTTTGCCTTCACAGAACTTACAATACAGGGAGGGCCTCAGACCTTAATAAACTCATAATTCATATAAAATTATTGACTGTGTAATAAGCATTAGGAATAAAAGAGCATGATACAATTAGACTTGGGTGTCCAAAAAGGCCTGTCTGAAGTGGCAGCATTGAAATTGAATAGTGGGGACTTCCCTGGCGGTCCAGTTGTTAAATCTCTGTGCTTCCAGTGCAGGGGGCTTGAGTTCAATCCCTGGTTGGGGAACTAAGACCCTATAAGCCGTGTGGTGTGGCCAAAAAATTAAAAATATTGAAAAAAAAAAATAAACCAAAGGGTGTAAGGAGTTAGCCTGGTAATGAGGTGAGGAAAGAATACCTATAACTATTTTTTTTTGGATTGAAATAGACCCCTAGAATAACAACAAAACTGTCAACAGGAATGTTCCAAACCCCAAATCAGGAAACATGGTCTTGGGAGTGGGGGATAAATTGAGAGACTGGGATTGACATATACACACTACTATATATAAAATAGATAACTAACAAGGGAGCTTAGCACAAGGAACTCTGCTTAATACTCTGTAATGACCTATATAGGAAAAGAATGTAAAAAAGAGTGGATACATGTATATGTATATGTATGACTGATTCACTCTGCTGTAAGCAGAAACCAACACAACATTGTAAATCAACTATACTCCAATAAAAATTAATTTAAAAAGAGGAAGCATGGTCTCAAGAGGAACATGCATGAAACTTTTCCATAAAACATAATATAGATAGTCACCAAACATATTTAATGTGATCCATAAGATAATAGTCGTTCAGTAGTGTCTGACTCTTTTCAAGTCCATGGATTGTAGCCCACCAGGCTCCTTTGCCCATGGAATTCTCCATGGGCAAGAATATTGGAGTGGGTAGCCATTTCCTTCTCTAGGGCATCTTCCTGACCGAGGGATTGAACACAGGTCTCCAGCACTGCAGGTGGATTCTCTACCGTCTGAGCCACCAGGGAACCTGATACGCAGAGGGAGTTATAATTTACTTAAGGATTAATGGCTACTGATGCTTGGCTTCCCAGGTGGCTCAGTGGTAAAGAATCCACCTGCCAATGCAGGTTCAATCCCTGGATCAGGAAAATTCTCTGGAGAAGGAAATGGCAACCCACTCCAGTATTCTTGCCTGAGGGAAATCCCAGGGACAGAGGAGCTTGGCAGGCTATAGTCCATGGGATCGAAAAGAGTCAGACACTACTTAGCAACCGAGCACACACATCACACAATGTGACACAGCCCAAAAACTATTAGCTTAGGTCCTGGCTCCAACCTGCCACTTACTGGCTGTGCACTGGGAGCAGGTCATTTTACCTCCTTAAGCCTCAGTTTTCTCATCTGTGCAATGGGCACAAGGATATTCATTCAGGCTCAGAAGAGTATCATTAGGACGAAATAAACTTGAATGTGTGAAACTGCCCAGCATAGAGCCTGATACATTCTTTGACTAACAAATGCTTAGTTGATGACTGAGACTGAGGACTGACTGGGATGAAGGTCGTATGTAGAGTAGGAGCCCCAGGACTTAATTTAAGGGAGGATAAAAATGGGAAAGGAGTGGGATCCTTAAGACAGCTGAGAGAATTCCCTGGTGGTCCAGTGGTTAGGACTTTGTGTTTTCACTGCTGAGGGCCCAGGTTCAGTCCCTGGATAGGGAACTAAGATCTGGAAAACTGCACAGTGCAGCCACGAAAAGAGGGGGGACAGTGGGCTGAGACCTGGGGAGGATTCTACCAAGGGGATGTGGTCCTCTGGTCGTGATGGAATGCTGCTGCCTGTGCCCTGACTTGACTGTCATTCCTCCAGCGCAGGGACTGTGTCTCAGCCATCTCCATCCTCCCTGCCAAGAACTTATTATAGAGCCCATGCACACCAAATTCTCCAGCGGGCAAGAGGGCAAAATTTCTCAGCTATTTTTGAGCACTGTGGTGGTCTGTATAATGCCTCCCCCAAAGGTGTCCACGGCCTGGTCCCCGGAACCTGTGCTGCCTTATATGACAAAGGGGCCTTTGCAGATGTGATTAAGGATCTTGAGATAGGGAGATGATTCTTGATTTTGGCTTATCTGAGTGTGCCCAATGCAATCAAAAGCATCCTTATAAGCGGGAGGCAGGAGGGCCAAAGGCAGAGAGGGCAAACTGCTGACCAAAGCAGAGATAGAAGAGAGACCAGAAGCTGTTATGCTGCTGGCTTTGAAAAGGACATGAACCAAGGACCATAAGTGGCCTCTAGAAACTGGCAAGGCTTCCCCAGTGGCTCAGGGGTAAAGAACTTGCCTGCAATGCAAGAGAGTCAGGAGACTTGGGTTCGATCCCTGGGTAGGAAAGATCCCCTGGAGGAGGGCATGGCAACCCACTCCAATATTCTTGCCTGGAGAATCCCATGGACAGAGGAACCTGGCGGGTTACAGTCCATGAGGTTGTAAAGAGTCAGACACGACTGAAGTGACTGAGCTTGCACATGTGCAGAAATTGGCAAAAGGGGAGGAAACAGATGCTCTCCTGGAACCTCTGAGAAGAATCGAACTCGGAAATCATCCTAATGAAGTCACAAAAGAAGGCTTTCAGAAAGGGAACCAACATTTATTCAGGCCCTGTAATGGCTGTCGTGTTGTTTTGGTCTCACAATATCTCTGAGTAGGAGTAGTTATTTTTCCTTGATTTATAGCTGAGAAATCTGAGGCTTGAAAGGCTGATAATCTGAGTAAGCTGCCCAGAGTTCTGCAGGTGTGGAGCTGGAGGCCTCAGATCCAGACTGTCTGATTCCCAGGGAGATGACCTTGACCTGGTGCCTTGCCTATTTTTTTCCTCTCTCCTGCCTCCTTTTTTTTTTTTTTTTTTTTGTCGCCATGCCACTTGGCATGGGATCAAACCCATGCCCCCTGCATTGGGAACTTATAGTCTCAACCACTGGACCACCAGGGAGGTCCCTCCCCCTGCATCCTTTGCAGGAAAGAATTCCTCAGACTTCTGGTCATGAGATCACAGACTCCTGGAAATTCCCACTCAGAGCAGGACCCTTGCCATCTCAGTGCTGTCACTGGGTTTGTGTGTCTGTCTAGGTTTCCCAGGACAAGGGAGGTCAGCCCGATTGCTGATATGTTCAAATCTGCCTCCCAAATCCACCTCCTCTCCTTCAGCCCCTTTACCTTGGTGAGCTTCTTGGTACCAGTCTTCAGGGTCACGGGCAGCAGCAATGCCAGCTCTTGCAGTTTGCTGGTGTGGTTTTTCCTCTGCTTCCTGTTTTGGGACAAGAACCGGTTTTGGTTAGGACATCCAAAATGGAATTTGGTATCTGACACCAGCCCCCAATCCACCTGTCTCAGTATTCCCCATCTCACAGAAGCTTAGTTCCCCGACCAGGGACTGAACTCATGCCTCTTGCAGTGGAAGCATACAGTTTTAGCCAGTGGACCCCCAGGGAACTCCCAGTCACCAAATTTTGCCCATTTCTCCTCCAATCCCTTCTTCTCCATCCCCTCACCCCTACCCTAGTCCGTGTTGACATCCTCATAGTTCTCCCAGCCTCCCATCTGGCCTCCTCCAATCCATACTCTCTATGAGAGTCAGGGGGGTCATTCTTTCTTCTTCTTTTTAATATTTATTTTGCAGCACCGGGTCTTAGTGGCAGCACGTGGGATATTCAATCTCTCATTGAGGCACTTGGGATCTAGTTCCCTGACCAAGGATGGAACCTGGGCCCCTGGCATTGGGAGCACAGAATTTTAGCTACTGGACCACGAGGGAAGTCCCTGGAGTGATCTTTCTGAAACACAAAAATGTCTATGGTTTTCCCATCTGTGCAAAAGGAATGAGGATATTCTTTCAGGTGGAGGGTTATCCGTAGGACTGAATACCTTAGTTACCTAAGTACTTCAAAGTACTTGATTAAGAATCAAGTTTAAACCCTTGACATGGCTTATAATGCCAGCCCTGCCCCCCACAGCTTGGCCCACCTGACCATTCTGGTCTCATCCCTTACTTCCTTTCGTTCTCTCCCATCAACAGCCCCCAACTCCACAGGACAGGTGAGGTACCTCTGTTAAGGGCCCCCTGACCCTGAGCTCATGCATTTCTCTGATCCCTGCACTAGACTGAGAGCTGACTCGGGGGCACCTAGAACAGGGTCTGGCACATTGCGGGAACTCAGTGCCTATTTGCTAAATGAACAGATAAATAAGGGCGTGAAAGAAGTTAACTCCTGAGCAGATGCAGAAGTTTCAAGATCTAATCCCTGAATCCATAGTTCATAATATATCCATGTACATACACCTGTACCTCTTTCTCCTGACATAAAGAGACACAAAGATGTTGGTGTCTCTCTCCCAAATTATACACTTCTGGAACTACTTCTGCTGCTTGTTTGGGAAAGCCCGAACACCTCGTCTCCACCAATCCTTATCTCATTTTCCTTCAGGGCCTGGTTCAATTGCCACCAACCCCAGGAAGCCTCCCCTGTCTTTCTCCCTGACTGAAAGCAGGATCAAGCCAAACATACTCCATTGATTACACACGTATCTCTGATTCCTACTCAGACCCATAAACTGATATCCCCTCTTTTATTTTTGGTCATGCTGTGTGGCATGCAGGATCTTAGTTCCCTGACCAGGGATGAAACCCATGCCCCTGCATTGGGAGTGAAGTGTCTTAACCACTGGACTGCCAGAGAAGTCCCTCGATACATCCTCTTTGCCAGGTCCTGTGCTGGACACTGTGGAAAGGGAGAGAAATTGATTCGCTGTCCTCGAGGACATGAGGGACCAGTGTGGGAGACACTGTTTATCTCCCCAGCCAAACTCTGAAGTTGAAAGAATCATTCTCACTCATTCATTCAGCAATTGCTTATTGAGCCCTTAACTGTGTGCCAGGAAGTGTGGTTGGTGACAGGGATAAAAGTCTAGAAAACAACAACTCTTTCTAGAGCCCACAGTACAGTCAGGGATCCATTCATCAAATTGTTCTACAAACATAAAATGGCAACTAGGAGCAGAACCAGCTATATAATTTGCTGAGGATAAGAAGAGTTTCCTTGTGGTCCAGTAGCTAAGACTCCAAGCTTGCAATGCAGGGGGCCCTGTTTCCATCCCTTGTCAGGGAACCGAGATCCCACATGCCCCAATTAAAAAGATCCTGGGTGCTGCAACTAAGACCCAGCACAGCCAAATTATATATAAATATATAAATAATACATATAAATGTATATATTTATGTATATATATAATACATATAAATATATTTTTTTTATTTGGAGGGAGAAAAAGGGTAACTAGGAATTGCAAAATATTGGTCTCTCCTGGGCAGTAGTCCTGAATAGGTGTGACCTAGGGCTGTGCTCACAGGGGCCTCTGGGAATCGGGCACTCCCTCCCAAGGGGGCTTCTTTCCTTGCTGGATGGTTCTGGTTTCAGACAAGTCTTCCTCACAGTCTCTATGATTTTCACTCACTAATCTCAGCTCTGCCCTCTGATTCTGTGGGGAACAGGTAAGCTCCAGCCACACAGGTCTTTTTCTATTTCTCTCAACTGCCAACTTTATTTCTGCCTGCAGGGCCTTTCCCATCCCCACCACCTGGAATGTTCCTTTGCCCTGATTTTTCACATGGCTGATTTCTTACCATTCAGCCTTTAGCTTAAATGTAACAATCCCAGAGAGGCCTTTCCTGACTACCTGATCTAAACAGGCACATTCTTTGTCACATCCCCACATCATTTAAAAATCGGCTTCCAAAATCTTTCTTTCTTTTTTCCTTTCTTCTTTCTCCCTTATAAACATAAACACAAAAGCAGGCATTTTTGTCCCTTCTATTTATTGCTATATCCTGGACTGACTGATCCATTAGGCACAGGTAAGCACAGTGCTTGAGGCTGGTGATAATTTTAGGGGCTCATGAAGTGTTTTCTTTTGAAGTCAGAAAAGAAAAAAATTAATATAATTCAACTTGGATTACATTCATCTTTATACCAATGCTGTCATAAAGGACAATTTTTAATGTGTTTTTAATGAAGGAATAAGCCCAAGAAAGCAAAATTGCCTACGGCCCACAAAAGCCATATGTGGCCTTGGCTATATTCCTAGCTCCTGGAATAATACCTGGCTCTTAGTAGGTGCTCAACAAAAAATTGTCGAATTAAAGAATGCTATCCTGTTTTATGATTGCCTTTCAGTCTTTGAAGTGGCAAATGACTCTAATTCTTGAGTTTCCTTCTCCCTGAGCTAATCAGCCTAAACACTCACTGTTCCTTTATTTTATACGAGCTGGAAGGAGCTTTAATCAACAGCCAGTCCAGGGGACTTCCCTGCTGGTAAAGACTTTCCCTTCCAGTGCAGGAGATGCGGGTTCAATCCCTGGTCAGGGAGCTAAGATCCCACATGTCTTGTGGCCAAAAAACCAAACATAAAACAGAAACAATATTGTAACAAATTCAATAAAGACTTTAAGAGTGATCCACATTTAAAAAAATCTTAAAAAATAAAAGCCAGTTCAAATTTCTCACATCAGCTATGTGAAAACCAAGGCCCAGACCCTAATTTGCTTAACATGTGCAAGAATTTAAGAGCCACTCCAAAATGAGGGAAAGCAAGGGGCAGTCCCAAGAAGTAGTATAACAGCTGGTTATAAACTTCAGCTTTTGAAGCAAACAGATCTGATTGAAATCCCAGCTCTGCCACTTGCTGTGTGATTTTGAACAAGTGCTTTCATCTCTCCAAACCTGTTTATAATTCATTTATAAAATGGAGCTGGCTGGAAAGTGTGATCTGTCCAGGCGTTTAGCACCAAGGGCGTGCTCATGAAAGGTTTGTTCAAGATAGAAGGTAGACAGTCATTTGTTGGAACGATTTAGGCATAAGGGATGTTGGAGAATGGGGTGGAGGCATTGTATTGGATGACGATGGTTGATAAAACTGTCATTTTTGGTTGACCAACATCCAATCCTCCTGTTCTCTGGTAATAATTTCCTTTGGGGAATGATCCCTCCCCCACTCTCAGTCCATGTGGTTCACAGAGTCTGAACCCAATCTCCCCTTCCACTCTTGGCTCTGATGTTGTCTGGGTTGGCTCACCATTTGTGAGGGCAAGAGACCTTTCAGTCACTCCAGGTCCACATCCTGCCAACCTGACAAGTCTGGCATAGATTCTCTTTCCAGGATCCATTGATTCTGATTAGCTAAGTCTGGGTTACTACCCAAATCCTGAACCAATTACTTGACTTTTCCCTTCCACTAGGGAGCACTGAAACAAGGTCTAATCAAGAAGTCAAGGGATGGGTTGAGGATTTGGGTAGTAACCCAGGCTTGACCAATCAGAGTCAATGGATCCTGGGGAGAAAACCTCTGCCAGGCTTGTCAGGTTGGCAGAACGTGGACCTGGAGGGGCTTAGGAGCCATCTTGCCCTCACAAATGGAGAGCCAACCCAGACAACAGCAGAGCCAAGAAAGGCAGATTTCTGGCCATATCATTTAACCCCTCACTTGGAACCAGCCTAGCCTGATGCCCCAGAATTTTTTGTTTAAAGGATCCAATAAATCCCCATTTATGCCTTAGCCAGTTTTAGCTAAGTTTCTGTTAATTGCAATTGAGTCTTTATTAATACAATGACTCCACATCTAAAAAGGGAGGAAAGAGAATGCACTGTTGGTGACCTCTGGAATTCCAGGAGGAATAGGCAAGCAGGAGAGAAATTCTTCATTGTCTTCATGTACTCCTTCTGAGCACAGTTCCTAAGCAGAGAACCTAAACAAAGCGGATGCTGATTTTTGGAGTTAATAAATGAAGAGATAGGTAGATGTAAACTCATTAGGGAAAAAAGTAACGGATAAGATGAACTTTGGCTCTCTTCTTTATCCAGATGTTGGAGGAAGGGAGAAATCTGATCCAACCCTCATCTGCTGGGAAAACCTCTCTATAAGATTCCTGACACTTGGTAGGGGCTTGATGGCAAAATAAATAAGTGAATAAAAGAAAGGAAGGAAGGGCATTAAAAAAAATCAGAATGTCAAAACCTGCAAGGATTAGAGATGATCTTTGCTAGCTACCTCAGAGTTCTCTCATCTTGAAATGGCAATAATATTTGCACCTACTTCCTCCTAGAGTTGTTGTCAGGATTAACAGGTATACAAACAAAAAGCTTAGCAAAAAGTCTGGCAAGCTAGTAAATGCTCAGTAAACACTATTGTTATTATCATTCTACCAGAGTGGCCGGAGCTGCAAGGGAGGTGGGCCAGGGGGAGCCCTTACCTGTCACTGGGACTCAGGGAGTTGGTTCTGGGCTGTTCAGGAGAACACACGTGTATGCTGGAATCCCACATCTGCAAAGAGGGGAAAAGAAAGAATTATTAGTGACCTCTGGGATTCCAAGAGGAATGCACAGCATGATAGGCCACCTCATTTCCCACCATGGTGCTCCTTTGAGCACTCAAGAGATCCCCCCAAAAGTTCTGAGTCCCCATAAACACAGGCCAATAGAACAAATGAAAATGTCCAAAGTCTAAACTGAAGTCCATGAATCTCAAGTTGTAAATTTGGGCTTGTAAATCATGATCCAGACCTAAAATTAAAAGCAGATTTCCAAACTTTGACTTCAGAGCTTTAGTCTTAATAATGAGATGTCAGACTCTGCAGTGGAGAGCAGACCTGAAAACTGTGACTTAAGATATTTAAACTATGATATTAAGACAGCAACCGTATGACTTTAAATGCCCAAAATGAGGACCTAGAGCCTAAAAAGGAGACTTTCCCAAATCTAAAAGCCTTAAACTCTAATACTGAGGTATTCTAGACCCCTAAACTGTCAACTTCTGATCTCCAAATATGAGCCCAATTCTAGTATTAAGAACACAGACCAGAAATCTTAATATTGAGAACCCAAACCCTAAATAAAGTAAGAAACCTGAGCTCCCCAAAGCAAACCTCAACCCCCAAAATTTACCTCAGATCTGAAAAGGAAGACCTCTAGACCCTCAAACTGTCTCTTCAGACCCTCAAACTGTGCCCCTAAGACTAAACTGAGATCTCACATGTGAGTTCTATCTAAAACCCAAACTCTAAAACTGCAGCCCCATATTCAATCTGGGGGACTCCAGGACTTAACAGTTCTCAAAGTTCCAAACTGGGACTCCAGACCCTAAATCTCACACCTCATATTCTATATTAAGATTCTAGACCCTAAATCTATACTGAGACTTCAATTTTCCAAAATTAGACCTCAGGCCCCTAAATTATACTCTAGGCTTCTAGATTCCCACATTAGTATCTCTGATTCCAACAGGAAAGTTTCCAGTCACAAAACCCAAGATTTTCATTTTTCCCAAAAATTGTTCTATCCAGACACAAATCCCAAGACTACAGGTTCTAATCGGTGACCCCCAAGTCGCCAATACTATTCAGAGACTTCATATGTCAAACTTGAGCCTGGATCCCCAAACCTAGGCCCTGCCTCAAATCTAAACTCTGGCTCTGCTGCCCAGGTCCCGCCTCACATACAGCCTGGGCACCCAAGGCACACCCACTCCCCGGCCCTCCGAAACTCTCAGAGGGTTGCCACGGCCAGGAAGTGCCATTCCTGAGTGAAGCCCAGGCTCCAGTCTGACCGGCAAGCCCCTGAACTATTCCCTATGGCCTCCGGGATCCGCCTCGAGAGACCCCCCTTCTGGTTTTGCGCCAGCCCCAAACTTGTAAGCTCGATGGGACAGTGTCTCGCGCTGGTCCCCGGAGGCTGGTCGCGTGCTGGAGCCTCAACGCCGGCCTCGGCCACCACGTTCCGAGCCCAGGCGTGAGGTGGGCGGAATCCCCTTTGGCGTGAGGTTCCTGCTTGAGGCCTGAGGAGAAAAGCAAAAGTGAGCGCTTGAGGCCAGGCTGCGCCCCCACCAGTTCCTGCCAAGGTGCGCTGGGCGCGAGACTGGAGAGGAAACGGCAGGGTACAAGTAGCCGTGCGCACGCGCGCCTGGGGAAGGTCCCAGTCTTCCAGCACAGCGCGAGCCTGGCTTCGCGCCTCCTGTCAGTCTTTGCTCGTGCGCGCCAAAATGCCGACCAATCAGGGCTCGTCCAGTCCCCGCCTTTTCGACAGGCCACGCCCCTCACGGCCACGCCCCTCGTCCACCTCAGAGGTCCGAGGCCAAAGGAGCCGAGCGAGGAGGCGGGGTCTCCCCAACTGCCAACTATCAGGAAGCAAGGGAGATCTGACTAATCTTCCTCTCGCCCTCTGGTGTCCGGTTTCCAACTTTTCCCTTTAGCACAGGGTTAATGTGGACCTACTGTGTGCCAAGCCCCATGCTAGAAGTTGAGGATTTAGCCACAGTCTTCCTAGTGCAGTCGGGAAGGTTCACAAACTGTGAGAATCTAGTGAGGTAGAGGCTGCGTTAAAGGGTGATAAATTGAGAAAAGATTCAAAGAAGAGGGCCACTGGAATCAGGCCTTAATAGCAGTTCCTCTCATGGAGTTATGTTTCTTAATATAGCAAACTCTGCATTTTAGAAAGTTCAGTCTCACAACCTATGAGAAGGATGGACAGGAAAATACTGCTTAAGGGGAGGCGATCTAGCAACCTAAAGGAGCATAGAGGCCCTGGTGTCCAGCACATTTCAGTTTAAATCACTTTATGGCTGTGTTGCCATGGAGAAAATTCTCAATCTATTTCTGCCTTAGCTTTTATAAATTTGGGATAATGCATGGGTTCTCTGCAAAGTGTCTGGCACATATTTGTGCTTAGTTGCTCAGTTGTCTCCGACTCTTTGCAATCCCAAGGACTGTAGCCTGCCAGGCTCCTCGGTCCATGGGGATTCTCCAGGCAAGAATACTGGAATGGGTTGCCATGCTCTTCTCCAGGGGATCTTCCCAACCCAGGGATGACCCAGGTCTCCTGCATTGCAGGCAGATTCCTTACTGTCTGAGCCGCCAGGGAAGCCCAAGAATACTGGAGTGGGTAGACTATCCCTTCTCCGGGGGATCTTCCTGACCCAGGAATCGAATCGGGATCTCCTGCGTTGCAGGCAAATTCAATAGGCATATAATTAGCATGCAATAAATATCTACTCAACACTTATTTACATTGTTCTGGGTGCTTGAACAAGATACACAAAGATGCCTGTCTTCGTGAATCCTCTATTATAACTATAATTTGTACAAATTTCTAGTTTATCGATCTTTCCTCCCTCTTATTTGTAAATTAGTGGTAAGAAAACGAGGGGTAAAAATAGATGGGAAAGTGTTTTAAAAAACACAAGGCACTGTTAATTATCATGTTAATCAGTTTAAGGAAATCGGTAAATTTGCTCTTTCCACCCCTCACAAACGCCCTTTTACAATTTTCTCAGTTTCTTTCCTAAGGGCCCCGGGCCAAAATGGAGGAGGCTGGACTGCATCTTCCAGCGCGCCTGGCGGGGGCGCTCTACGCGCCTGCGCGGTCAGGCTCCCTCTCTGCCTCCTGGGAGTTGGAGTCACTTTTCCTCAGCCCGCCCAGTTTGCTACCTTCCCCACCTCCGCGCCTAACCGTGCTGCCTTCTGGGAGATGTAGTCCGGGGGCCGCCCGGACTCCAATTCCCAGCGGGCTTCGGGGCGGGAACCCGGAAGGGGAGGCTGGAGAGGAGCGAGTGGGGGAAACCCGCGTAGCCGAGGGAGCTGCAGCGCGGGGTGATGGTGAGAACCTCGAGCCGGGGCCGGGGGCGCTTGAGAACCCGTGCGGGAATTCGGGACCCGGTAGCGAGAGGGAAGAGGCAGGGACTGAAGAAGGGGCTGGAAGGGAGGAGATCGCTTGGGGGAGGGGGTTGGGAAACGGGAGCCGGAGGGAATTGTAGAATGGGGGCTGGGGATGGGTCTTGAAGGTGGGGAGAGACTCGAGCTTTGGGATTGATTGTAAGGAAGCTCAGACTGGGGCAAGGAGTCCCGAGTTGGAGAAGGGAGTTGGCGTCCAGGCAGAGGCCCAGAAGGGGGCAATTTCAAGGGGTTTAGCCGGGAGGATGTGGAAAGGCATGGGAGTCAGTGCTAGATGAATGAGAGGGTCTGGAGGCTCCGAGGGAGAGACCAGTTCTGAAAGCGGTGGGTTGGAGCCTCTGGATCGGATTGGGGGCAGGAGGGCAAGCTGAGATGGTGGAAGAGAGAAATAAATGGTAGAGTGGTGTGTAGGTTAGGATCCAGGACTGTGGGTAGGGTGGGGAGCAAGAGATTAGGGACCTGCCTGTAGCGATAGTTTGCTTAGTCCAGCCAGAAACTCCCGATAAACTGGACAGCCACACAACTGTAGGGTTATATGGCCAGAAAAGGCCATAGAGACGACTTCTGCACTCTTTATTTCTCCAGTAGGATTTGGAAAAGTTGGTGGTTTATGTGTATGAGCAGCATTCAGATCTTTTCTTCACTCCTTTATGATCTGGGCAAGTGTCCTCTCTCTGAAACTCAGTGCCCTTATCTATTGTGGGAACAATATGCCACTAAGAGAGGAGTCTTCATAAGATCGTCCTTCTGGCTCGGAGTAAGTCCTTAGTCTCAGAGCAGTTGGTGGGAAGTTCCCCACCCCAGGAATGTGACTTGGTCACAGGTGCTAATGGATTCCCTCCTTTTCAGTGCAGCCCCAGGGGCGTTTTCTCAAAACCTGGCACTGATCTGGGCACACCCCAGGTCAGAAGCATGCGGGGACAGGGAGAGGGTTTCCCCACAGCCATTCCAATTCCAGCTAACACTTATTGTTTAGGAAGTGCCTGGTCTTGTACTTAGCTATTTGTATGTGCTAACTCCTTTAATTCTGACAACACCCCTAAGTTGTAGGTGCTGTTATATTAGCTCTGTTCTACAGAAAGGAACCAGAGGCACAGAGAGGTTCAGCAACTTTCCCAAGGTCATCCAGCATTAAATGGTAGACTCAGGATTCCAACCTAGGTCTTCTGACTTAGAATCTGTGCTCCTGTACTGAGGTACAATGTCATGAGTAGGGCAGAGTGAGAACTGAAGCCATCTTCAGGTTTTTTTTTTTTTTTAAGACTTGTTTATTTATTAACTTCTGACTGTGCTGGGTCTTCGTTGCTGCCCATGGGCTTTCTCTAGTTTCGGTGAGCAGAGGCTGCTTTCTAGTTACGGTGCCTGGGCTTCTCATCACAGTGGCTTCTCTTGTTGCAGAGCTGGGCTATAAGGTGCACCACCTTCAATAGTTGTGGCGCACAGGCTTAGTTGCTCCACCCACATGTGGGATCTTCGTGGAGCAGGGATCGAACCCGTGCCCTTGCATCAGAAGACCGGAGTCTTAACAACTGGACCACAAGGGAAGTCTGAAGCAGTCTTCAGTTCAAATTTTAATTCTGCCACTTACCTTCTCTGTGACCTTGGGCAAGTCTTTTGGCCTCTCCTCAATTATAAAATGGGGTCAGTAACCCTAGGAATGTTAGAGAGTTTAGGGAGGTCAGCATATAAAGTGCTTGGATCAGTGCTTGATGCATGTGCGTTGTCATTTTTTTGAATGGGAAACGCAGACCTGAGAGAGGGCAGTAGAGAAAGACCCGTGAGGGAGATGCCAGCCAGCCTGCCTTTCCTTTCTCTCCTAGGTTGCTCCTGTGTCCTGACTCTTCTAGTTCCCCACCCTCTGTCCCTAGGCGCCTAAGCCCAGGCCTGACTCCCTGAGGGGGTGCTCAGAAACTCAATCTGTCCCCATTCCCATTCCTAGCCCCAGCCAAATATAAATAATTCACTCACCAATGCCCAGCCTGGCCCAATTCCAGGTATTTCAGTGAATAGGAGATATTTCTAACAACTGTTTTTTCTTTCTCCCAACTTTTTGGTCACTGGGACCTCGCAACTTTGTATGTAAGTCATTTTAAAACAGTTTGATTCATTTGTTGTAGGCTTCCGGAGTTTATCCCCTAAATTGTCTGGCTTTGATAGGAAAGCTTATGGTTAAAAGCATCACCGTCTGGTAGGCCCACATTCCCATCCCCACCTCTGCTGCTGTGTGTCTTTAGCCAAGTTGCTTGCCTACTCTAGGCCTGTGTTTTCTCATATGTAAAATGGGCCACATTCCAACCATGACACTCTTGTCAGCAGTTTATGAGATCTCGTGTATAATATGCCTAGCGCATATTAAGTTCTTCGTAAGTGTGACATATTTTGATTAATTTTATTCTTTCCAGAACAATTTATTGAGCATGTGCTCCAGAACCATAACACCAAGATTTGACTCCTGGCTCCATTACCCACCAGCTCTGTGACTTTGGGCAAGGCACTTAACCCCCCAGGACCTCAGTTTCCTGTTCTGGAAAATGGAGGTTCATTCCTTGAATCATCCACCATGTCGATAGAGCACCTACTATTTGGCAGCACCTGTCCCAGGTACAGGCTGCCACCCTGCCCTTGGGGCGCTTGCAGCTGTCACAACACTGGGGCAGTTTTGCATCTCTGGTGGCATCTGTGCTCCTTTTTCTGGTGTGGGTTACTCTACTCCTGATTCATTTTCAGCCCCTCATGCCAGTTTTGTCTGTTTGTCATTCAGTTCAGTTCAGTTCAGTCGCTGCTCATTGGTGTCCGACTCTTTATAACCCCATGGACTGTAGCACACCAGGCTTCCCTGTCCATCACCAACTCCCGGAGCTTGCTCAAACCCATGTGCATCATGATGGTGCATGCTGGTGATGCCGTCCAACCATCTCATCCTCTGTCGTCCCCTTCTCCTCCTGCCTTCAATCTTTCCCAGCTTTCTTGGATTTTTAACGTTTTTGTTTCCAGGTCGCAATGAATGATCTGGAACCCCATTGATTTAGGGAAAAGTTGCCAGCCTTTCCTCCTTGTACCCATTTGTCACATCTGGGCGCCCCCTGGTGATGCAGTGCTTCCCCTTGCCTCCTTCCTTTATTTGTTTGCCTTTGAAAATGTGTCTGCTTTCTGAGTTACTTTGCCTTTTCCTCAAATCTTAAATGTGTTTCCAACCTAGGTTTATCTGAAGCTTTTTTGTTGTTCAGTCGCTTAGTCGTGTTTGACTCTTTGTGACTGCATGAACTGCTTACTCATGCAGAATGATATGTATATATATATTTTTTTCTTTATTATTGATAGTGGTATATTGCTAGCAACTCTGGTAAAGCTCCATTATTCCTAAAAGCACAAGTTTTCTTTTCTTTTTTAAAATATTTATTTATTTATTTGGTGGTGTCAGGCCTCAGTGGTGGCACATGGGCTCCAGAGCACACGGGCTTAGTATCTGAGGCACTCAGGCTTAGCTGCCCTGTGACTTGTAGGATCTTAGTTCCCCGACCAAAGATCGAACCTGAGTCCCCCTGCATAAGAAGGGGGATTTTTAACCACGGGACTACCAGGGAGGTCCCCAGGTTTTCTGAAAGATTTGGCTTGTCACTTGCTCCTGACCCCTCAGTTAAGATTATAACCCCACCTTACATTCTTGAGCCCTTTCACTTACTGTATTTGTTTTCCTGTAGCACTGTGAAATTTACCCTGTCTCCAATCCATGAAGACAAGGATTTCTGTCTCCTGTGTCTTGCATGTCCCCCGATGCCCAGAACAGTGTCTGATACATAGTAACTGCTCTGTAAATGCTGTTTAATTACTAGGGGAAACCCAGTACCAGACAGTAACAAAGTAATGGCCATGTTTTGATTATTGTGGGGGGATAAGACTGGTTTAATTTCAGAATGTAAAATAAACAGGGAAGAAGCTTTGACTCCATCAAGTAGTTGTCAGACTCTTGAGTGGTTCCCCCCCCCCCCTTTTTTTTTGCCATGTTGATGGGATCTTAGTTCCCCAACCAGGGATCAAACCCCTGCCTTCTGCAGTGGAAGCTCAGAGTCTTAACCACTGGACCGCCAGGGAATTCCCTGTCTTACCTTTTCTTGCTTTCCTTTTATTTTTTTAAAACCTTGTTTTTATGTGAACTGTTTTTAAAGACTTTACTGATTTTATTACAATACTGTTTTTGCTTTATATTTTGATTTTTTAGCCTCCAGGTATATGGAATCTTAGCTCCTCAATCAGGGGTATAATCCTCACCCCCTGCATTGTAAGAAGTCTTTAACTACTGGCTGCCGGGGCAGTCCATGTCTCACCTTTTCTTAATAATCCTGGTCCCTTCATATTGAACCTCTCCTTGGTGCCTCGCTGGCACTGAGCACTGTACTGAGTTGATCTCAATGAATCAGCAGCCAGCCCATGGGTGGGTACTGTTACTGTCTGTATTTTACGGTGGGGGAAACTGAGGCACAGAGGGATAAGGACCTTGCCTGTAGTCACAGCCTAAAAGTGAGAAAGCTGGGGTACTCTGAGGCCCTGCCTGGATTCTGTCGGCGGCCTGGATCTCAAGATGCTGAGGATTTGTATGATTCTGACCAGCTGTTAGAAAGGAAAACTTGAGGAGGAGAGAGACCAGCAGACCCTGAGTCCAAAAAAACCAATAAAAGGGCATGGATGGATCAGGATTGTGGACACAGTTGTAGGGGGTGACAGGGTGGAGAGAGAGGAGGATTAAAGGAATAAGACCAGGAGTGGTGCCGTGAGGGTCCTGCCACTGATGCCTGTTGTAGTAATGGGCAAGTGTACTCCCTGGGCACCGCTCTGTGCCCAGTCCTGTCCTGGCATGACCCTGATCTCTCCAGCTTGCGAGATTGTAGTTCCCTGACCAGAGATTGAACCCAAGTCCTTGGCAGTGAAAGCACAGAGTTGTAACCACTGGACTGCCAGGGAATTCCTGTTTCCAGCTTAAGTCCAAGGCTTAGCTTATTAATTAGCAGCCTTTTTCCTTTCTCTGTACATTTATGGAAGCCGATTCTCCCTTAACCTGCTACACAGCTGTCCTCCGAGCGCCCTTTATCTTCATCTGGGGAGTCCTTCCTTTTATCTTTCTTCTGAACTAGATCTTATCTCCTTGATCTGATAGCTTCCTTTTTCTTGGTTTACTCCTTTACTTCTGTGAAGCAAATCTTTTAGCAGCTTCCCGAGAAAGGGTTCCTGTGCCTGTTCTGTTTGTTTGTTGGTTTTGTTTGCCAACTTGCCCCACTCATGGAAGGATTTTAAACAGGGGACTTCTGTGGTCTGATTGGTGTTTAGGAAGATCTGTCTGGCTACCATGAAAAGGATGGAGCCAGAAGAACTAAACCAGGCCAGGGAGCCAAGTGTGGAGGCTGGAGCAGCTGTGTCTTTGGGGAGAGATTCCAGCCTTCCGGAAACCCAGAGGATGGAGGGGAGGGAGAGAGGCCCTGACCCAGGTCGTTGTCACTCATCCGGGACAGATGACAGGTGCGGCCAGAGGAGGCCTCAGGAGGAAGAGACCTGTGTGGCTTAGGAGGGCACCAACATGGCTCTTGGAGGAGGTGGCCTCCTGCCTTGGTCCTGGGAGCGGGATTTCCACTGCTGGACTTGGCCGGACCAGCTCATTTTTCACAAGAGGTCCCCAGTAGCATCTGTGCAGAAGATGGACAGTAAGGCAATGTTAGGGGTTTGTTCCGACCAATAAGTGCTGCTCACCTGCGATGTGCCTGGGCGGAGATTCTCCGTACGATCCTCCGGAGATCTTGTTGATGTGCACTTTCTGATTTAGCAGGTGTAGGGGAGAGCCCAAGATTACATTTCTAATACACTTCCAGCTGCAGCTGCTGCTCTGAGGACCACACTCATAATAGCCAACCATTTGGTTCTATTCTAAAAGCTGGGGATGCAGAGGTGGGGAAGAAAAAAACTAGACAAAAAGTACCAGTCTGGGGGAGTTTTCATTTTAGTGAGGGGAGCTGACAATAAAATTTATATAAAGTTTATAGTATAGTAGATAGTAATGCGTACTAAGGAGAAAAATAAATCAGGGAGAGTGTGTATAAATCAGGGAGAGACTGTGGTGGGGACTGCAGTTTTCAATCAAGATGTTCTCAGGAACAACAAGATCCTACTGTATAGGACAGGGAACTGTATTCAATGTCCTACCATAAACCATTATGGAAAAGAATATATATCTCTGTATAACTGGATCACCTTGCTGTATAGTAGAAACTAACATGACATTGTAAATCAACTATGCGTGCTAAGTCACTTCAGTCGTGTCCGACTCTTGGTGACCCTATGGACTGTACCCTGCCAGGCTCCTCTGTCCATGAGATTCTCCAGGCAAGACTACTGGAGTGGGATGCCATGCCCTCCTCCAGGGGAATCTTCCTGACCCAGGGATTGAACTGGAATCTCCTGAATCTTCTGCGTCTCCTGCATTGGCAGGCGGGCCCTTTACCACTAGCACCACCCGGGAAGCCCCAGTCGACACCACTTCAATAAAATAAATTTAAAAAGAAAGGTCTCATGAAGGTGATCTGAGGAGCGGGGTGAGCCCTCTGGATATCTGGGGAAGAGTATTCCAGGCAGAGGGAACAGAGAGTGCAAAGGCTTTGCAGACAGAACAAGATGATCCAGGAAAATTGCTCCGTATACTCCATGAAGGAGCTGCTTGTGCTCTGGAGTCAGCCAGACTCTGATTCAAAGCTTGGCCTCAAAGCTGTGTCCAACAGCAATTACTTAGCCATTCTATGCCCTCACTTTCTAACATCTGAAATGAGATTAAAAAGTAGTAAAATGACGTGAGAATTAAATGAGTTAATATTTATAAAGCACTCAGAACAAAGCCTGGCTCACGGTGAGAGCTCCAGTGTTAACTGCTGTTGTGATCATCATTTCCTCTGTAATATATTCATCTTGGCCATGACTGTTTCTTTGGATGCCTGCCCCCTTTCCCATGAGCTCTTTCTGGTGATGTCAGTGTCATCTCTGTATCTCCAGCACCCAACCCAGGGCCAGCACACAGGAGGACCTCAGAATGTCAGATGAGGGACATAAAGCTAGATTCTCATTGGGGGCATTCCAGCAAGAGTGGTGATTGTGTGGTTCAGGTCCTTACTGATTTTTTTCAACTACTGTCTTATGGAGAGATACATTTTCCCACTACAGTGGTGGGCTTGCCAAGCCGTCATTCTGTTGCTTTTTGCCTTGTCTGTTTTGAGGCCGTAGTATTAGGAGCATGTATGTTGAGAACTTTTGTATATAATGGGTCAGTTTGTTTTGTCACATTCTTTGTCCCTAATCATCCCTTTTTGCTTTTGTCAGTTGTTAACTGTTTTTCTTAATCAGCACTGTCACTTCTCTACTTGACTTAAAAAAAATTTTTTTTTAATTTATTTTTGGCTCTGCTGGGTCTTTGTTGCTGCACGGGCTTTTCTCTAATCTCAGCATGCGGGAGCTACTCTCTAGTTGTGGTGCACGCGCTTCTCATTGCAGTGGCTTCTCTTGTTGCAGAGCGCAGCCCTGTAAGGCACATGGACTTCAGCAGTTGCAGCACATGGGCTCAGTAGTGATGGCTTCCGGGCTCTAGAGCACAGGCTCTGTAGTTGTGGCACACGTGAGCTTAGTTGTTCCACAGCATGTGGGGTCTTCCCAGATCAGTGATCGAACCCATGTCTTCTGAATTGGCAGGCAGATTCTTTACCACTGAGCCATCGGGGAAGCCTCTCTATTTGATTCTTGGTTCTTATTTGCCTGGTCAGTCTTTTTCCATCTTTTGATTTTCAGTCTTTTTGGCTCCAGATGTTTTTCAATAAGTGGATCTTCACGGAGCATTGCCTTAGGGTATGGCCCTGTACGGAGCTCGGTGTTTGGGAAGTTAGAGAATTCTGCCCTAGTAACCTCTGACACAGGTAGAATATTTGGGTGTGAAACAGAGTTTACACTGCCAGGCCTCCAGGAGTTTGAGACATGGAGCCTTAGGGCAGGAAACTTTGATCCATTCTGTCCCGTGCTGGGCAGTGTTGCTTGGGGTCACCATGATGACCATGATAACTCTGACCTTTCCTCCCACGGGTTCACTATTCAGTGGAGCAGACAGATCCATCCCTCGATAGTGACAGTGGACAGGGCTATGTTTGGGGAACCCAGAGGACCATTCTGGGCAGGTGGAAGGTTTCCAGGAAGGGAGCTCAGGGAAGGCCTCCCGGTTAAAGATACAGGCCCATGAAAGTTACATTTGAGCTAAGACCCAAATGATAGAAGGGATAGAACCATGTGGAGACCTGCGGGGGAAGGCATGCCAATCAGAGGGAACATAGAAGGAAAGGGCTTAGTGACTCTGAGGAATATCCAGCAAGGAGCCCAGTGTGGGACCCCAGAGGTGGAGCCTGACCCAGCCTTACGGGGTCAGCTTCCTGGAGGAGAGGATGGCTGAGCTGAAACCCCAGAGAATATATAATTAAACAATAGAGCACAGCAATCTAAAATCAGATTCCCTGGGTTCCCATCCCTGCTCTAAGTCCCACCAGTTATGTGTGACCTTGAGCTAGTTAGGCAACCTGACCTATCTCAGTTTCTTCATCTATACAGTGGAGATAACCACTCCTGAGGATCAGAGAAGGCCTCAGAATTCTAACTATTCTGTAGGCCAGAGTAGGTGCTTACCTGGGTCCACTGGGGGTGTGGGAAAGTGGGGAAGGATGAGGCTGGAGTTGTAGAGTATCTGGGCTTTTCCCCAAGGGCACTGGGGAGTCATGGTAGGTTCTGAGCAGGGTAGGGACAAGGTCAGGTTTCTATTTTGAGAATACCCTTCTGGCTCTGATGTGCAGGATGGCTGGTAGCAGACAGGGTGGTGGGAATGGACAGATGCCTGCAGTGGAGTGTCTCTTGAGCAGGCCTGGCACTGAAAGGATCTAGGCCAGTGCTGTTCAATAGAAACAAAGTGAACCTTACATGTAATTTAAAATCTTCTAGTAGCCACATTTAAAATGTCAAAAGAAAGAGATGAAGTCAATTTTAAACATCTTAACTCATTTATATCTTAGTCTCATTTTAACAAGTAGTCAATGTTAAAAAAATTATTAATGTATTTCATATTATTTTCTTGTACTATTTGCGGCGCCTGGTTGGAAGGGCTGGCCTGAGAGGTCCTTTTGGCCACACGGCCTGAGCCTTGAATGCCAGGCCCAGAGGCTCAGACTTAGTGCCGACGGAGCCACCATCGCAGGGTTCTGCCCATTTGTTTTTCAGGGTGAGGTGATCCTGCTGCTGCTCCGTTTCCCCCGCGGGAAGTCTCTCCCTCCAGGTTTCCCTACCAGAGCTAGGCACTTTCAGATCTTTCTGCCCTCTTCCTTTCCTCCGGACTTGGAGTCTCAATCCCTGAACTGCATGGCCCTTTAAATCTCAGCTGTCAATCAGGGCTCCTGTTTAGAGGAAACGTCGTAATAAACCTTTCCTTGATTGTCACGGCCTGGGTCCTGGCCTTGGTCTTCCGTTTAGCAGGAAGTTAGGAATTGTTCTACACTCTCTTGCACTTGACTGTTTCCACACCCCGTTCGTCACCTCTCGCCTACTCCACCCTCTTTCGAAGTTGGGCCCCTTCGCCAAGGCCTGCCTTATATGGGCATGGCTCCGAATGGCCGCCGCTCATTGGCTGGGGGCATCACGCGCACGTCTGTCAACAAAGGGGCGGAGGGAAACCAGGTTGGTGCCGGGCTGGCGCGACAGCAGGAGGGAAGGAGCGAGGGGGCGGGCCCTCTTCTCCTGCGCACGCTTGGGTGCCTCCTCCTCCCCTCAGGGGGCGGGGCGCTCGGGGGGGCGTGTCTAGGTTGCGAGAGTAGCCTTAGTGGTTGGCGAATTCCAGGGAAACTATAATGGGAGGGAGTGGGGGCGTTTTTCGTGAATATGAGGATACTTTGGGGTTCCCTTGAGTTTAGGTGGCGCCTTGGGATTTGAGTTTGGGTTCTGATGCAGTGTGGAAGGTTCGAATGTATTGTAGGGAATCGCCCATGTGGTTTGGGGTGTTTGGTGGATATAGGATTTGCGGAAGCCACGGAGAGACTTAGAAGCAGAGAGTCCCCTGTCTGGACCTAGAATGCATGCGCTTTCGGCTCTCCCGACTTGCTCCCTGTCTGGCTCCGGACAGGGATTTAACCTTTCTGCCCCTCATCTGGACTCAGGGACGAATAACACTCCCTGCTTCCTAGGGAGGAGGGAGGATTAGCAGGAATTGTTAAAACAGTACCCAGTAAGCTGCCAGCGAGCGTGCCATAAGCTCATGTCTGCGTATTAACATTTTGTGAGGTTTCTTTGGGAGTATTTTGGAGGTTCTTTTGACTTTGAGAAATAAATGGTTTGGTATTAGTTTTATGTGTGTTTTAGTTAGTTGTTTTGCGGTCGGTGGGCCTTCTGTGGGATTAGGTAATGCATGTGGAGGTTTAGAGAGAGTTTGAAGTATAAAATTTCAGGAAACTGATCTTTTGGGTCATCTGTGAGGTTGGGAAATTGCTGTGTGTGTTGGAGTTCTTGGTAGGCATAGGATATGTGTGGGTCTACATTGAGATTGAGGCTTTCTGAGCTGGAGGGGATATTTTTAGGTTTGGAAGTTTAAAGTAAGATTTTGAGAGGGTCTGGATATTTTGGGTCAGGATATATTTGCATCTATAGAGAATGAGTGGCTTTTGCTGTGGTAGTTTCTATTCCTGGACATTTTATTTATTTATAATTTTGTTTATTTACTTTTGGCTGTGCTGGGTCATCGTCACTGTGCAGGCCCTTCTCCAGTTGCAGCAAGCAGGGGCCACTCTTGCTGCAGTGCGCAGGCTTCTCATTGTGGTGGCCTCTCTTGTTGCACAGCACAGATAGATTCTAGATTCTTTACCATCGAGCACCAAGGAAACCCTGTTCCTGGATATTTTAGATGTATTGGTTGTTGGTAAACTTAGCCATCTATAGGTTTTAGGGGCTGTGTGGTTTTGTTTTTTTTTTATAAGCAAGAAACATTTCAGCAGGGGCTGTGTTAGGAGTAGTAGGTGGGATCGGGAATTATGGGGGGCAAGGATTCTTAGGATTAAGACTCTGGTGTCTGTGAGTGCTTGGAGGTGCTTGGAGGCTGTGTTGATCTTAAAGTTATAGGGCCATGAAATAAATGGTGATTTAGTGGTGTCTGTGGTGTTGCCTGGATTTAGAGGAACCATATATACTGCAGAGGTCAGCAAACTTTTTCCATAAAGGGCCAGATAATGAGTGTTCTAGGCTTTGCAAGCCATATGTTCTCTGTCACCTCTACTAAACTCTGCCGTGGTAGCATAAAAGTATTCGTGAACAAAGGAACATGTTTCAATAAAATTTTATTTGCAGAGACAGGCAATGGGCTGGATTTGGCCCATGGCTCAAAATAGTACAACCAGGAGTCAGCAAACTACTTTCACTGGTCTGTAAGCATCTGGAAGTTTCGACATTTGAAGGGTGTCTTGATTTCAAGATATCTGGAGGGAGGTGGCCCAGGGAAAGACTGAGGATTAGAGACTGTTAGTTCTGCAGTAGAACATAGTTGGGTCAGGCTCATTAGCAAGACTGCCTCCAGTTTAGGTCATGCACACAAAGTCATTGCAAAATAAAACGGTCACTATTACAAGCTCTAAATTGAGAAATCTGGAAACCCAAGTTTGAGGGCCTGGTTTTGCAATATATAAACCTTCCCCACTGTGAGCCTCAAACTCAGCAAGTTAGGAGCAACTTGAAGAAACTAGACTAGAAAGACCTCATGCCAGGGGTCTTTGTTTCTGCTTAAAGGAATTACCTGCACAGGCTTGGTGCAAGTGTATGCATTTTCCTGGGTGAGGATCCGCAGCTGTAATAGATCCCCAAAGAGAACAGGATCTGAGTGGTCTAGCCTGGTCTGTCTCCTCAGGTCCGGAGAGGTTGAGATCAGAGAGGAACTGATGGGGTGAGCTGTTCCCCAGCTCCCCCACCCTCTCTTCCGTGTCTCCAGGTGACCTGTGGAGCCCCCCACCGCCATCCAGGCCCTGCGATGTGGTGAACCCCCGCCTGTCTGCCACCATTCCCAGAATGGACCGAGGTGGCCTCCTGCCCTTCCAGCTTTGGTGCCCCCGGCCCTTTGGCACCTACTCCCAGAACCAGCCACGCCCACCTTCTGCAGCCCTCAAGCCCTCAGCCTGCCCCGAGCCCAGCGCTGGGGCGGAGCCAGAACATGGCCCTGCCCACTCTGAGAACACGCCCCCGGTCTTGGCCTCCGAGGCTCCTGCCTCCCAGCCTGCCCCACTCCTTTCCACAGCCGCTGCTGGCGACGAGGGTCGAGTCCTGCTGGACACATGGTATGTGATCAAGCCGGGGAATACAAAGGAGAAGGTGGCCTTCTTTGTGGCCCACCAGTGTGGTGGGGGCAGTCGGGCCAGCTCCATGAAGGTCAAGGGGCACTGGGGCAGTGACAGCTCCAAGGCCAAGAGGAGGAGGCGCTGTCTTGAGTCTACGAAGGCTCCGCCCGACCCAGGGGGACAGGACGGGCCCCCTGCCGCGGAGGGGGCCCCAACCTCTGCCGGCGAGGATGTGGACCTGCTCTCTGTGGCCGAGATGGTGGCCCTGGTGGAACAGCGGGCCGCCCTGGCCCTGCAGAGCTACCCGCGCCCCAGCACCCCAGCGCCTGTGGTCTTCGTGTCGGCTGAGCAAGGTGGGCCTGGCAAGGGGCTGGGATCCGAACGAAGGTCTGGCGGCGGGGACTGCAGCCGTGTAGCCGAGGCGGTGGCCCACTTTGAGGCACAGCGGGACAACCCTCCGGCCAAAGGCCTCCGCAAGGAGGAGCGGCCTGGACCAGGTCCCGGGGAGGTGCGCATCGCCTTCCGGATCTCCAATGGCCGAGAGTCCCGAGCACCGGATGGCAGCTTACCCAACGGGAGCGGGAGCCGGCCGGGTTGCGCCTACCCTGGCAGCCCGGGTCCCGGAGCCCGGGCCAAGGACAAGATCACCTGCGACCTGTACCAGCTTATCAGCCCGTCTCGGGACGCCCTCCCCAGCAACGTGGAGTTCCTGCTGGCTAGGGCAGACGAAGCCAGTGAGGGTGAGACCCCCGCCCCTGCCAGGCCCGAGGACACTCCCCCGGCGCCCCCGCCACCCCCTGCCCGGGACTGCGGAGCATCAGGCTTCCACGTGGATGTGGTAGTTACTGGGGTGGTGGACGAGTGCATCTTCTTTGGCAAGGACAGCACCAAAAACGTGAAAGAGGAGACAGTGTGCCTGACTGTCAGCCCCGAGGAACCACCCCCGCCCGGCCAGCTCTTTTTCCTCCAGTCCCGGGGGCCTGACGGGCCCCCCGAGCCTCCGCCAGCCGACTCACCGGCCACGGCGCCAGGCCCGGACGATGCCGAGGGGACGCCCGACACCTCCCTGTGCCGCCTGTACCGGCATGTGTCCCACGACTTCCTGGAGATCCGTTTCAAGATCCAGCGGTTGTTGGAGCCGCGGCAGTACATGCTGGTACTCCCAGAGCACGTGCTGGTCAAGATCTTCAGCTTCCTGCCCACGCGGGCCCTGGCGGCTCTCAAGTGCACCTGCCATCACTTTAAGGGCATCATTGAGGCATTTGGCGTGCGGGCCACAGACTCGCGCTGGAGCCGCGACCCACTCTACCGCGATGACCCTTGTAAGCAGTGCCGCAAGAGATACGAGAAGGGCGATGTGTCGCTCTGCCGCTGGCACCCCAAGCCCTACCACCACGACCTGCCTTACGGACGTTCCTACTGGATGTGCTGCCGCCGAGCCGATCGCGAGACGCCCGGTTGCCGCCTGGGTCTGCATGATAACAACTGGGTGCTGCCCTGCAATGGGCCAGGCACTGGTGGAGGCCGGGCCGGCCGCGAGGAGGGGAGGTGAAGCCGGGGGAGGGGGTGGGGAAGAGCCCACCACGCCCACCCCCACCCCCTCCCCCTGGGAGCCGAGGGTCAGGACTGGGTCACCAGCCCATACCCCCAGCCCAGGCAGCATAGATCCCCCTCAAGAACTAAGATGGGGTTCATGGGGGTGACCAAGAAAGCTCTCTGATTGACCCCACCTGGTTTTCTACTCTTCAGACCCTCAAGTTGGGTGGTTTTTTTTTAATCAGCATCTCAATTTCCTCTCCAGCCCCGATGCCCTCCCTGCCACTCTCCATACCCCAGGGACCCACTAGCAGGGAGCAGACGGCAGCTAATTTTGGTACTACTTAAGGGTTCCCCCATTCTGGCCCCCTTGCATTCCCTCCCCTAGTTCTTTCTTTCTGGAGTTGTTCTTTTCCCCCAAGAGGCTGCAGCACCTAGCGTTGGTACCCTTCCTAACCTACTACACCAGGGCTCACCTCCTCTTTAGGAATTGGGGGCCATCAGATCACATTTTGGCACTTTTCATGGCCACCTGCCATTTCTAGACATTTTCCCCATTAAAACAATAAAAATCAGTTTTCTCTGTAGTCTCAAGCTATCAGTCTATCTAGGTCCCCAAGAGGAAAACAAAAGTTGAAGTATAAAAATTCTCTTCCAATATTTAAGCTATTGCCATGACCCCAATCCCACCCCCACCCCCACAAAAAAAGCTGTGAAACCCTTTGCCTCACTCTGGACAGCGTGGGGGGTGGGGGCTGGTGGGCAGGGACTAAGGGTTTCAACTTCTGTTTTTTTCCTTCCACTCTGGGTACTCGTTCAGGTGTTAGAGGTCTATCCATCCCCCAGCCACATATTTTTTTTAAAGAATCCTTTAGTGAACCAAGACCTTGACTTTCAGGCAATTTGATCTGGAGTACTTTTTTTGTTCTGTTTGGGTTTTTGTTGTTGTTGTTGTTTTTTAATTTGGTTTTGTTTTTTCATCCTTGTGGTTCTGGAAAGCTTCTAACGTGTGGCATCTGACCAATTTTGAATTGGTCCTTTCTATAAAATCAATATTTATAAGGCTGGGCCCAGACTGGTTTGTGTGTTGTTAAGGGAAGCTGTTTGGAAGAGAAGGAAGTCATGGGCCAGTTCGTGGTGAGATGGAAAAAACTGAAAGAATCCTTAGCCAATTCCCTTAAACTGAGATGATTTTTGACTCTTCATCTGTGTCCATTTGAATTCAAAAATCTCAAAATAGTATTAATAGAAACTCAAACAGGGTAGCTTTTATTTCTTTAGAAACCCAGAGCTGGGCAGGTATGGTGGCCCTGAAGTCATTGGCAGCCCAGACTCCTCCTCGCCCACTATCCCGTTATTCTTTGCCTTTGGCTCAGGTTGATGGTCCAACATGGCTGCTACGACTCCAGCCATTACCATTTTGTGGGGAAGGGAGTCTCCTTCCTCTCAGAAATACTACACCATGCTTCTGTGCACAGCTCACTGATCAGAACTTTAGCCACATGGAAGGACTGCAGGGGAGACTGGGAAATGCAGACGCTTAGCCAGATGCATTATGCCCAACCAGAAACTCATAAAGATCCCTGTAATAAAAGTTTTAAGATATTCAGCTAATTATTAACTAACAGAAGAGGGGAAAATGGATATTGAGCATTGGCTAACAGTCTCTGACATTCTTACCAAGGAATCAAAATTTCCAGAGATGAGGATATGTCAGAATAGTTATTTAATACTTAGATTTGAGAATCAAAGAGACCTGGATTTATAACTTGGCTTGGTTTTGTGGAATTTTGGATTCCTGTAAAGAGACGGCTGAGAAGCAGGACTCTCCTGCTGAAAACAGGAAGTAAAATCTGAAAAGCCTCAAATAGTCAATAAAACACAATTATGGATATAATAAGCCAAAAATTTAAGGAAAATGTCCATAGGGGTCCTAAAACGACTTTTGCTCTGAGGGCATTTGCCGATGTAAACAACCCTGGGTTTCCAATTTGTAGCCTTATTGGGACAGGCGAGCAGAAGTCAAAGCCTGCCCAAGGTGAAGAATGTAATAGGAGCTGGGATCACACCAAACTACAAGCTCAGGTAAGGCTGACACAGAACACTGCAGAGAAGGTGTTTTAAATGCTGAAGAAAACACAAAATTAAAGGAAAGGGGGGGGGGGGGAATTGAGCCCTGAGAATCTGTGGCCACAGGCTGGCCCTTGGCTTGGGTTTGCAGCCTATTTTTCATCACCTGTTGTGATCCAGGGTACTGAGATGTCTAGCAGAAACAAACAAAAAAAACACTCTGGTGGGAGGAGCTGACACCTACAATCCCCACCAACAGTTTTTTAGACAGTGAGCAGTAAGAGTCAAATAACCAAACACACATGGAAATAAAGAAGCAGAAACAAGAAGCAGCATTGGCCACAGAGCAAAAACAGACCCACAAAGGCTGCAGGTGGTGGAACCGTCAGTCACAGATTAGAAGAAAAAAGAGAGCTTGGAAATAAATGCAGGGAACCCAGACCTGAATAATGGCCTAGCCAGAATAAAAGGAAAAAACCCACAAAGATATACAGTAACCAAAAGTAAAAAGTCAATGACTAGGCTAAACAAATTAGACACAATGAAAGAGTTATTCAGCTAGAGCAAGGTCTGAAAAAGTGGCATAGGGACCAAAAAGAAAAAAATGTAAACGGTTATGGAGGATAGAGGAAGTCTAGCACATTTAACTGGCATCCTAGAATCAGAAGAGAAAATGAAATGGTACAATGATAGTATGTAAAGACACAATGATTGCAAATTCCAGACTGATAAAAAGATGGGTACACAGTGAATCATAGGCAGCATAAATAAATAGAAACAAATACCTAGACAAATGCAATGAACGTGTCCAGCTGTGATCTTCAGCAATTGATTTCTCTGAAACTCAGTTTCTTAATCTGAAAAAGGAGAATGTTAGACAGCTCCTCAGAAGGCTGATACACTGGAGTGCTCACTGGTTGTGCCCATCACAGACCCCTCTTGGGCCCTTCATAGTGTGAAGCTGGAGGAGGCTGCCTTTCAGGGCGAGAGGAAGCTGGGGAAAGCATTACCTTGTCAAGCATCAGCAGCCTCATCTGTAAAAATGGGCTCATGATCCTGACCCCAGATTCAAGTGGAAAGCCCTGCTCAGTGTGTGGGTGTAGTGCACCCAGCAAGATGACTTACAGGGAGGCCTGGAGACCAAGGATGGAACTGAACACACTGCTTACTCTTAACACTGAGGTGATGGTTTCACCTACCTCTGAGATGGCTGTGATGATAAGGAGACATGTTGCAGTTTTAAGTGCTTGGCATCATGAAATGAACAAACAGGAACTCTCTGATTTGAGACCCTCTTGCTACCCTAGTTGCTGATATCTGTCAATTTCCTTTTTTGACTTCTGCTGATATCTGTCAATTCCACTTCTAAGGGGCTGTTAGTCCCTGCCCTTCTGAATCTCACTGTAACTTGCAGCCAAATAAAAGCCTCAGGAGGAGCTGCTTTTTTGGTTAACCAGCTGTTGGACCACACAGGTGATTTTTAGAAAGAGGTAGGACACGGGCTTAGGAGCACAGCTGTGGGTGAGACTCTGAACTCTGTAAACAACAGTTTGTAATTCTCAGCCCCAGCCACCTCATTTGCAAAATGAGAACCGAAATTTTCCCTCAGCCCACAGGTCCTCTTGAGTCAGCCTTGAGTTGTCTTGGAAAGCCAATGTTCACCTTCACTCTTTTAAGGTTTTTTTGATGTGGACCATTCTTAAAGTCTTTATTGAATTTCTCACAATACTGTTTCTGTTTTGGTTTGTTGGTCATGAGGCATGTGGGATCTTCAACTAGGGACTGAAACTGTGCCCCCTGCATTGGAAGCTGAAGTCCCAACCACTGGATCACCAGGGAGGTCACCACCTTTACTCTCTAACCCTCTACCCTGGCCTGGCCTCCCTGCAGCCTACCAAGTCTCCATCAAAGTCACAAAATCAGCAGGCACAGGGCTGAGCATCAGACTCCCTGCCTAAGTGCTCACCTAGGTTTTCTTTGGAGCCGGTTTGCTAAGCAGCTAGAATGCACCAAACTTATATCCTTAAGGACAGCATGCCCCAAAGTGCTCATCGTGAAGATTCCCCAGGTGCTTTTACAGTCCCAGCCTCTGAATCTGCTTTTTTTTTTTGGCTGTTGGCTTCGCTGCACAGTTTATGGGATCTTAGTTCCCTGACCAGGGGTCAAACCCAGGCCCCAGCAGTGACAGCGCCAAGGCCTAACCGCTGGACTGCCACGGAATTCCCCGCATTTTTCAAAAAGCACCCCAGTTGCATCTGAAAATTAGATAGGGCTAGAAAATAATTCCTTGGGCCAGAGTTTGCAGTTACACATGACATCTCTCATTCCTGTACTCACAGCCAAAAGGGAAAGGATGGTTTGGTGTAACTATTTTATAGTGAGTTTTAGATCTGACCCATTTCTACCATAAGCACTTTCAAACGATCAAAACCCAATGCTTCCCAATGTATCTGCTGAGGTACCCAGATTCTGTGAGGTGCTTCCCAATAAAGGGGTTCTGTGGTGAAATACTTGGGGGAAACAGTGCATTCTTACTCTGGATGAAAACTGCACACCATGAAATGAAGAAATTCATTTAATACTGTCTCACCCTGCTTTGGTCCCCTTTTTCATGCAACACCTGTGTATACTAGTTGTGCAGAATATGTTTTGCAGAAACACTGGTTTATCGCCCACTGGAGGTGGCAGAATCTGGAGTTCCCAAGGATTGGCTTCTACCTCCTCTGTCCCTGCTTACAAGCAGATCCTTGGTGGGCCCCACATGCCACGTCTCTGTGGGAGTTAGGTTTGGACTGGTGCAGTAGCAAGGCTGACATTCTGGAGAATGGACTGCCACGAAAACAAGCCACAGAGAATTCATCTGGTCAAGGGTACTGCTGGTCCGGATGCCAGTCCGTGGTCTGCTGATTAAAGCTGAGAACGGCGCTCAGTACCTGGAGATGTACAGCCCGAGTGTTTCCTCAGGGCAGGGGCCGGGCTCATTCCTTTGACTCTCACCCCACGGCGATCGCTCTCGCTTCCACATCTTTGAAGAGTGGCAGCTTGAGATCAAGAAAGAGCATCTTCCAGTCCGAGCACAAACAGAGCCAAAGGGGTTAAAAAGGACAAGCCAACACACCCCAGGAGGGCCGTGGCATGTCTCCTGCTGGGCGTTTCTCAGGGAGTCTAGAGCCCCAGGTATTCAGCCAGGAACACGGCCAGGATGCGGCTCAGGTTGTGTACCGTGGGTGGGTGCAGGTTGGCCTCGGAGTCATTAGACGTGTGCCAGACAGAGGGGAAGGGCGTGGCGATGAGGTGGAGCACGGGAACTCCTGCAGGGCAAAGAGGAGGCACAGGCCCGTGTCTGGTCCCCGGCTGACCCAGGAGCCCAGGCCCATGCCTGGGCAAGTCTGCCTTCTCTGCCCCCACCCCCCCAGTTGTGCCACTTGAAGAACTCTGAACAATTCTGAGGGTATGTGTTCATTAAAAAAAAAACACATCCAATATATTCATAACAAAAATCAGAAAAACTCAAAACTTCATAGCTTATGAAAAGACTAGAAGATCTGAACACTTGCCATTGCCGGGCACTGGTCCAAGTGCTTTACATTCAATCCCCTCAGCAACTCTTGAGATGGGGGGCTGTTAATCATCCCCATTTTACAGATGAGGGAATTGAGACACAAAGAGGTTAAGCAATTTGCCACCAGTCCCCAAATCTAGGAAGGGGCCAGGTCCTACCTGTGGCCCCCCTGCCCCCCAATTCCCACAGCAGGTACCTCGGCGGAGGAAGGGGATGTGGTCGTCTTCCACAGAGACAGGGGGCTCCCCGGTCTGGAAGTACATCACTTCCCAAGGATGAGACTGCAGTAGGTTCAGTCGGTGCAGGCGTTTCTCTGGATGTGGTGGGGATTGGAAAGCAGAAGGTCAGCCCCTCAAGGGTCAAAGATTCCCCTGCTCACAGATCAGAGGAGGGTGGGAGGCCTGGGGGTAAAGCACTGATCATGCCAATAAGGATGAATGTTAGTTCATCATTCTGGGGTAACGTTAGTTACCCCAGACTACAGGCTATGTTCCCAGTCTCATTTAATCCCTTCAAGTCTAAGGAGGCAGACACCCCCATTATTAGCATCATGCCCATTTGATAGATGGGAAACTGAGGCTCAGAGAGAGGAGGTCACTTGCCCAAGCTCACACAGCTGGTAAGAAGGAAAGCCAGAATATGAACCCAGGGCTCTCTGACCCTAGAATCCCTGTCTGTAATCACTTCATTTGACTGCTGTGGGATCTTTTGTGTTTCTGCCCCAGAGCTTTAGGGAGAGGCTAGGAAGGTGGAGGGGAGGCTGGATGGCCCCTCAGAGGCCAGGTGCCTGGTCCTCTCTCCAGCATCTCAGGCGGGTGTCTGCCTATACCTTCACCCTTACCAATGCTCCTGAGCCGATGGAACCAGCGGGCCGTGCGAGGGAAGTGACTGTAGAAGGTTGGGTTGGGGGCTCCCAGGAGATCAAGAAGCATAAAGAGCTCCTAGGGAGAGAAGCCAGGACTGAGCAGCCCAGCAGGATGCTGCCAACCTCATGCCCCCCTCCTCCCACCTCGCCAGCACCCAGCAGGGCCCTAGTCTTACAATAGCCTGGATCCTGGTGGAGCCCAGGCCGTGGGGTGTAGACTCCATGAGCTGGGCCAGGTGCCGGGAGCCATAAAGCGAGTCCTTGGGTCCCCACTCCTTCAGTGCCTCTTCGCCGTCCAGGAAGAGCAGCTGCAAGGTCACTGGGGCTGCCTGTGGGGGCCAGTGGTCAGGGCCAGCTCAGTGCCAGCCCACCACCTCAACTCACCCACATTTCCTGCCTGTTTGCACAGCTGACTAGGGCAAACAGTCTCCTCACTTGTAGAACCTGCTAGCCAAGAGTACAGTCTGCCTGCATTTAAATCCTGGCTGGGTTGCTCAGCAGCCAAGCAGTAGTGGGTCAGTTACTAAGTTCTCAAAGCATCGACTTCCTTATGTAGAAATGGGGTGAATACCACTTCTCATAGGGTAGGATTTGAACCCAGTCCTAAAACAGCGCAGGTTTCCCTGGTGGCTCAGTGCTAAAGAATCCACCTGCTAATGCAGGAGACGTGGGAAATGTTCGATCCCTGGGCTGGGAAGATCCCCTGGAGAAGGAAATGACAACTCACTCCAGTATTCTTGCCTGAAAAACCCCATGGACAAGGAAGCCTGGCTGGCTACAGTCCATGGGGTTGGGAGGAGTAGGACACAACTTAGCTGCTGAACAACAACAATAAAACAGGCTAGGGCAGTGCCTGATGCATAGTAACTAAATAAGGATTAGCTCTGATTGTAAGAGCTATTCCTCAAGTTCATTTGGCAAAAGAGACAGACCCACAAATAAATAACTGTATAAACAATGAAATGAAGTTGGGCAAATGCTTCTAAGAATAACAGGGTCCTGAAAGGTCCTCCAGGGGGGTTGGGGATAACCTGGCCTGGGGGACATGTTCGGTCTGCTGGGCAGGGATGTTTGCGCTGAGGCTGAGGAGGACCTGGCCTGGCAAAATGGAGCAGAGGGAAGAGTGTTCCCTGGTGAGGAAGCAGCATGGACCAGGACTGGGGACAGAGAAGGGGCCAGAGAGGTTTGAGAAAAGGCCCTAGGACCCAGCAAGGGCCAGGGAGCTTGGACTCTGTTACAAGAGCACTGGGGTTTCAGCCATGGAAGGGATCTGAGCAGGATAGAGGCATGAGGTGTTTCCATTCATTCCATACATTCTTATTGACATCCTACTTTACACCAGGCAGTATTCTGGGCAGTATTCAGGAAATACAACAGGAAATAAACACAGCCAAGGGCCCACCTATCTGAAGCTCATTCAAGCTTGGGAGACAGACAAAAAAATCAACCTAAAGTCCCATGAGGCATGGGATAGTGACAAGGAGCTATTTTATGGTGGCTGGGAAGGTCTCTTTGAGGAGGTGACATCAGAGTGGACCCCTGAATGAAGGGTGGGAGCCAGTCAGGAAGGTATCTGAGAAAAGCACATTGTAGGCAGAGCAAATAGCAAGTGCAAATGCCCTGAGATTGAGAGTGAGGTCCACAGAGGAGGTGGAGGCTAGCATGGAGTGAGTGATGTATGAGGGGTGGGAGAGGAGACCAGAGAGATGAGAGGTCACACCTCATGGGCTAAGAGAAGGACTCTGGCTTATTCATGGAATGACGTGGGAGCCATGGGAGGATTTTAGGTAGAGAAGGGACAGAATCTGACATTCAGGAAATGGAAAGACCCTCTGGACTCTGGTGTGGAGTGGAGGAAGATAAGACCCGGTAAGGGAGAGTGGTGGCATGGACCAAGGAAGAGACATCCCTCGTTCACCCACCCCCACCCTACCCCTGCTCTCCTTACCCTCTCCTTGGCTTTGCCCAGCTCTTGGTCGAGGGCCTGGGCCAGCTCCAGTAGCAGGGAGCAAGGCACTGCCGAATCCGTGGCCCCCACAAAGGGGGCTGAGCCAGATGGGAAGAGCTTGGAGTCGTAATGGCAGGCAAGGGTAAGGTGGCGGGCAGCCCCTGGGTCCAGCGTGGCCACCACATTGCCGAAGTCCAATGGCCCCAGGGGTGTGGAGGCAGTGAAGGGGTCTAGTTCCATATGCCAACCTGCTGAAAGTGTCCGCAACGTAGCCTCCAGGAACTAGTGGCAATAGAGAAGAGGGAGGGTGGGTGGGGACTGGGGAGAAGGTCAGAAGAAGGGCCATGTGACCTGAACCATGCTGAGCAGTCAGGTTGGCCCACCAATACCACTTTGGTTGAATCGTTCCCTTGAGACACTTCTGAGTACCTACTAAGTGCTAAGCATGGAGTGCCCCTATCTCTTGAAGCCCAAACTAATCACAGCTCACCCTTCCATAGCAATCTGTGCCCAGTCCTTGTTCTAGGAACCCCTATGGAGTGGGGACTGACAATGGTTCCATTTTGCAGATGAGGAAACTGAGGCACAGAGAAGATGAAATTAGTTCAAGGTCATACCAAGTGGCTGAGGTGGATTTGAAGTCAGGCAGTGTTCAAATGACTCTCAATGCCTTCTGGGGAGCAATGTAGAGCTCTGGAGCCAACCCATTTGGGTGGAAACCCTAAGCATACCATTTATTAGCTGTGGGATTTGGGTAAAATGCCTAACTATTCTGGGTGTCAGTTTCCTCATCTACACAATGAAGATCAGATTGGTATCCACCTCATTAGGCTCATAGGGCTGTTGCTGATGTGTATAAGATTGGGGGGGGGGGGGCAGTGTATAGAGGGCAGTGGTCTGGTGGTTAGCAGAATAGAGCTCCTATTAGCTTCAGGCAGACCCCCAGCTCTGCCACTTGGGCAGGATATCTATTTCCTATTCATTGATGGGCTGTGGGGTCAGGGGTTAGAGGTGGGGTCCTTTTACCTTTCTGACTTGGAGATTGCCCGGGCTGCCCGGAGTCCGCACAACCAGCAGAGGGCGCAGGAAAGTGTTCCAGAGACGCTGAGGGTCCAGTTGCCCCACTACCCTCCGCACCCGAGCTTCGGGGAGGCTTCCGATCAAAGGGCCCTGAGGAAGCAGGTAGGGAAGAGAAGAGCAGAGCATGAAAACGACCCTCATTCCAACCATTTCCTGGAGGCTGCCGTCCTCTTCCTAGTCGCAGCCTCCAGCGTCAGAGGTTTCTAGGAGAAATCCTAGACTCGGTTAAAGTCCTTCCAAACCCATCCTGCCCAGCCCGCGGCAATCCTGATGGAGGAAATCTAGGCCCAGCGAGAGGAAGGGATTCTTCCAAATAGTTGACTTTAAGATTAGAACCCAGAACTCCCAGTCTTACTACTCCAGACTCTCTCACCGGGTAACCGCTATTACAAAACAAGCCCGAAGCCTCATTGCGTTAAAAGGGGTATGCGCTCTAAGAACGGAGACGGAGGCACCTGCAGCTAGGGCCATATGGTGAAGACAAAGCCACGTCAACCCAACCTAGGGTCTCCCCCATGAGACCCTGGGGAAGGGGACGCAAGGAGTAAGGGCTTCCGCAGCGCCCGTGTCCCCGCCCGTCCTCACCCGCAGCTCCCGGCCCAGCGGCAGCTCTTCAGTCTGGCTATGCCAGCTGCTCCAAATGGTATAGAACACCGAGGCTACCGTCAGAGCCAGCAGCAGTAGGGGCAATAGCTGTGCACGCGGTAGCAGGCGGCGCTTGGGCGGTGAGGGTCGCTCCAAAAGGCCGCGTTCTCCGACCCGGAGCCGGGGCCGCCCGCGGCCCCCGGAACGCATGGCAGCTTCGCCCTGAAACCGGTCGGAGACGGCGGATAGAGTTAAGGCCCATCCAAGTCCCGCCCCATGAAATAAGCCGGACCAATGAGCAACAAGAGCGGCTGCACCATCCGCCCTCCCGTGAGCAGTAAAGCCAATGGGACTTTCGTCCTGAGGACGCGGCTCCTTGCCTCCCAGGGAGCTTTGGGGGTTGGTACCCCAGGGTTGCACAACCCAAAAGGGAGAGCGTAAGAAGTAGGCGCCACCTCAGCGCAAGAGGGGAAGCCAATGAGAAGCGTTTGATCACCGAAAACATTAGCCTTACTGGGCGCAAATCCACGCCGCTACCGGATGGACCCTCACCTGGGTCCAGAAAAATCAATATACACGTAAATCAACAGTCCCTGAAGGAAAAGGGGAGGTGCCCATCCCTGAAGCGAAGAGCGGATTGGCTTTGCGAAGGCCGCGCCCCCAAAGGCAGAGCGGGCGGGTATTTGGAAATGGCTAGTATTTCCCTTCTTCAACCTATGCGGTTCTACAACAAAATGGTTTGAATCAGTCCCGCCTTCTTTTCCTCTCCTAGGTCGTGAATATCTGCCCAGTACTGTCTAGAACGGTGGCCTGGAGCTACTTACTAAATAAGAGTTCTACTCTACAGACTCCGCCGAGGGCGGAGATCGCTGTAGCAACAGGCCACGCCCCACTCGCTGGTTGGGTTTGCGCAGGCGCCCACGGAAGTGGGCCGCAGGAAGAGGAAGTCCCGCCTCTGGCTCTCTGTTCGGAAGGCACACCGCGTAGGAGAAGGTAGTGAGTTGAGAAGGCGGTCACCATCATCATCATGTGAGGCCGGCCTGGGTTTGGATGGCGGGAGTGGGATTGAGGGTGTAAATTTGGCCGCTTACCGGTTGAAGGGGGTAGGCAGAAATGGGGGCGGAAGCAAACATTTGGGGGTAAAGTGGCGTATCTTTCTACTGATGAGTTGCGAAGGGACGTGGGGCCTTTGACGCACCCTGACTTCGGGAGAGGGGACAGCTTTATCAGATAACAGGCTGGACTTTCCCAAATAAGCAATCTTACTGAAGTGAATTTTAAGAGGAAGCGTTTTTACTAAAAACCTGGGAGATGGGGAGTACGGACTTGTAGGAAAAGCGGTCTTAAGGTAAGAGGCTTAGCTGGAGAAGATTGGCTTTTCGATCACATCCGCCATTTGTACGGATAACGAGTTATGGGGATGATTTTACTTATGTATTCATTCAACAGTTATTTATTGAGTGCTTGTGTGTCAGGCTGCTTTAGACACATAGTTTATATCAGTGAATTACTCCGCTCTTCCCAAGGAAAAAAATTCTCTTCTGCATCTCACGAGATGGGAAGAGGCAGGCAGGAAACGTGCTAGTAATAGATACGTAAATTCTAGAATGTGTTAGGGGATAGGGTTATGAATAAAGAAATAACAGAGCAGGGTAAAACTGTGGAATGTCACTTTTGAGAGACAGAACACATAAAGGAGGCAACACTTGAGTAAAAACCTGAAGAAAGTGAGAAAGCAAACCACAAAGATACGTGGGGAGGTACCTAGGCAGAGGGGAAAGTGAATAGAGGGGCCCAAGAAGGTTTGCCTAATATCTTCAAGAACCACTGAAGAGGCCATTGTGCCTGGAACAGAGGGAGGGTAAAAGCTGGGTTTTACTTTTTACACTGAGAGAGGAGTCATGAGAGGGTACTGAAGAGTGAGATGATTCTGACACCACCCCTGAGACTGCTTTCTGGAGGGCAAACTGTTGGGGAGCATGGGTGGAGGCAAGGAGACCTCTAGGAAAGAGATGATGGAGGTTTAAGCCAAGGTAAGAAATTCAGATTCTGATAGGTTTTAGCGGCAGATGACAGGATTTGCTGACAGATTGAATGTAGGATGTGTGAGAAGAAAGAGTCAATTTGACAGTAGGGCTTTTGCTCAAAGAACCAGAGGGATGGAGTCTCTATTGACAGAGATGAGGAAGGCTGTGGATAGTATAAGTTGGGGTTATGGGGGGTCGAGTTCAGTCTAGGACGTGCGGGGATTGGAAATATCCATTAGGCATCCACGTGGTGATACCAAGAGAGAGGACTGTGTAGGAGGAGAGGGGTATGTGTCAGGGAGACACTGAGGGAGAGGCCGTGAGCACCCAGGCCACGGGCCTTCTCACTGTGGGTTCCATACTTCTCAGGAGTCTCCTCAACAAGCCCAAGAGTGAGATGACCCCAGAGGAGCTGCAGAAGCGGGAGGAGGAGGAGTTTAACACGGGGCCACTCTCCGTGCTCACGCAGTCTGTCAAAAACAACACTCAAGTGCTCATCAACTGCCGTAACAACAAGAAGCTCCTGGGCCGCGTGAAGGCCTTCGACAGGTGAGCACCAGGGTCTGGGGAGTTATGCTGTCCGGGCCTCAGTTTCCTTACCTGTGAAATATGCATCATCATAATATTCTTCAGAACAGTCATGAGGCTTCAGTAATACTATGTATGAAAAGCACTTGGCTCAGTACCTAACACATGATAAATGCTCAGTAAACATATGCAGCCTTTAGTTAGCATTTGGGAAGTGCTTTCCTCACAGTAGATTACTATATAGCAAGATACAGAGCTTTCCCAATTTTTTTCTTTTCTTTCTTTCACTAAATCATAGTTCCCTATATCCTCCTATCCCTTAAGGAGTAATGGGGGAGTAATAGGGGATTTTAAAAGAGAAAAAAGAAAAAAAAGGTAAAAGTGTATCTAGGAATTTTTCTGGAGCTGTTGCGGTCAGTGTGGGTTTGGTTCAGTTTCAGATAGCTCCTCATTCTAGCTTACACTTCTCGATATCTATAGGCCTCTTCCGGTGTAGTCGGTGTTACCTACAGGGGTTTTAATCTGTTGCACCGGTCCCTTCTGAAGCGGTTCCCTTTGTTTATTTGGCTTCTGTTTGCCGGTCTCTTCAGTGTCTAATTTCCTCCCTGACACAGGCGGGCGGAGGTGGTCTCTTGTAAGGTCGCTAGTTGCTGCTGGGAGGGCGGGGCGCTGTAGACAGATATCGCTGTGTGTGGGGAGCACTCACAGTGTTCCGGCCACACTGGGTTTGCCCCCGCTCACGGGTGTGTGTGCTTTCCCCGTCTATACTGCTCAGGCTCCCCACTGCTCTATATGGAGCGGGCCCTGCGTTGCGTGCGGTTCCAGTTTTCGGGTTTTCCACAAAAGCGTGGACTCGGTTGTGCCTGCGTTTTGTGCCTTCCCCAGCCCGAGCAGCTCAGGCAGCCAGGAGCTTGACGGGCACACTCTCCCCGGATGCGGTGTGCCTTCTCCCCTCCGTGGTCCCATCCTCAGTTTCCACGCGTGCCAGTCAGGTGCGTGCGCCTTGTGTTTAGCCGCGACCCTCCCGGCGGATGTCGACCATCCAGAATCTCAGGAAGTCTTTGGTTAGAAACTGGAGGCCTGTTTGCTGTCTCTGGGGCCGAGTTTGCCCCTTTCCCCTCCCCACTACCTCCTGCCTCCGGCGAGGATGGGCAGGTCCGCGGCCGGTCCGCAGCCGGCTAGCTCCTCTGGACTTGCTCAGTCCCTTTGTTTTGCGAACGGCCGGCAGTGTGTTCGGGCCAGTTAATTTTCTCTCTCTCTTTTGCTATCCCACAGTTTAAGTTGCTATCTCACAAAAGCTCCCTTCGATTGCCCTCAGGGCACTCAGGCCCAGTCCTTACCCTAAGCAATGCCACCCGCTCCTCTCTGTTTCTCCGTTCCGCCCCCACTTGCTGGTGGCGGATGTGGGCGTCTGGGGTACTTTTCTGCTGGGAGTTGCTTTTAGGCACGTAATCTGTGGGTTTTATTTATTTTTCCTCCCAGTTAGGTTGCCCTCGGAGATTCAAAAGCTTCCCCCAGAACCGCCAGTGCGAGGGTTTCCTGGTGTTTGGAAACTTCCTCTATTAAGACTCCCTTCCCAGGACAGGTCTCCGTCCCTAGCTCTTCTGTCTCTCTTTTTATCTTTTATATTTTGTCCTACCTCCTTTCGAAGACAATGGGCTGCTTTTCTGGGCGCCTGATGTCCTCAGCTAGCGATCAGAAATTGTTTTGTGAAGTTTTCTCAGCGTTCAATTGTTCTTTCGATGAATTTGTAGGGGAGAAAGTGGTCTCCCCGTCCTATTCCTCCGCTATCTTGGCTCCTCCCTATCCCCCTATCCCTTTGGGTGCATGCATGAGGGCTCGGTCGCTTTAGTTGTGTCTAAATCTGTGCAACCCTATGGACTGTGGCCCACCAGGCTTCTCTGTCCGTGGGATTCTCCAGACAAGAATACTGGAATGGGTTTTCTTCCTAGCACTTACTACCACCTGACAATATATTTCAGGTGTCTTTGTTTACCTGCTTCGTGGTGTTCTCCCTTCACTAGCCTGCAGACCCCATGAAGACAAGGCTCTTATCTTTTTTTTTTTTCATTGCTCTAATCATCACAAACGTTTGTTGACTGAGCCATTCCACACTGTCATCACACATGCCCATAACAAGGATACTGTGTTGCTTCACTTAATTTTCACAACAGCCCTAGGAGGCAGTCACCATGAATGTCTCCATTTTAGAGAAGAGGAAACTGAGGCACAGAGGGTGAAGCCCTTTGCCCAAGCCTTGGAGCCCTGGCTCTTCACCTTTCCCGAGGCAGTGCCGCCCAGAGGAAGGGTCAGGATGCACCCCTCACTCACTTCTGCTGCCTGCCTGTCACCCACCAGGCACTGCAACATGGTGCTGGAGAACGTGAAAGAAATGTGGACGGAGGTCCCCAAGAGCGGCAAAGGCAAGAAGAAGTCCAAGCCAGTCAACAAGGACCGCTACATCTCCAAGATGTTCCTGCGTGGGGACTCTGTCATTGTGGTCCTGAGGAACCCGCTCATCGCTGGCAAGTAGGGGCCTCCTTCCTGCTGTCAGAACTTGCCCCCTGGTTTTGCAAAGACCTGCCCTCTGTAGTTGAAATAATAAAACCGTGTGTTTTTTCTAGTGGCCTCCGCCTGTTCCCAGGGCCTAGAGAGCGGAACAGACCCCAGAGAGGGGTGGCAGGGTGTGGGGCCAAGCATGGGCTCAGGCCTCTCTCAACAGGTGAAGAGGCCCAGTCTCTGTCCCTTCTAGGCCTTAATTTTCCCGTCTTGGGCAGAGAGAGCTCTTGCAGTCTTTTGTGTTTTAACTTTTTTCTACTTTCTCATCACTTTCTCCTCCTCCTCCTCCCCACCTCTCAGTAAGTCACTCACTCAAAATTTCTTTCATTCTTTTTTTTCCCCCCATTTGTTCACATAGTTTGTTCCCAGCCTTGTGTTGCCATGCTGGGGACACAGCAGGGCCCAGAAAAGCCCCCAACCTGCCCTCACTGAGCAGAGGTTAAAGCAATTAGTACTCAATACTGACGGCATCTGTAGCTGACACCTGCTGAGCTGTGAGAGCGCCAGGCCCTCGGCTCTGTGCTGTTCCTACGTCTCTACAGCTCTGAGCAGGCACTGTGATCCATCACCTCCAATTCCAGGGGCAGGGGCTGAGGCACAGAGTGGTGATGGTGCCTCCCCAGGGGAATCCAGCCCGAAAGTGGTGGTGTCGTGATTCACAGCCCTGCTGCTCTGAGCCAGTGGCTTACCCCCTGAACTCTGCTGCCCTCAGATCATAGCTTCATGACCCCTGAGAGAGAGTCTCTAACAAATGTAGAGAGGTGGGGGTGGGAAAGGGGGTTTGGCTTATTGTGGGTGGATTAAGGGAAATCCCTGTCTTTCTCTAAAGCATATCCATTATGCTCCTCCCACCAGCATCTCTCTCTGTGTTCTCCAGATAGGGCCAAGTGCCAGGCTGGTGCAGTTCCCAGGCCTGAGGTCAGGATCCAAGGAGATATCTGACACTGAGCTATGGAAGACACAGCCTGAGTTATCCCAAGAGCCCATCAGCAACAGAGCTGAGGACCCTGCAGTAGAAGGCCTGACACATGCAGGGCGATGGCTGTGAGGTTATTTATATAACCTCAGGGCACACGCTCACTGAGTGGTTCACGTCTAATTGGAACACCCATCTGAGGGGTAGATAGCAGAGCCATCCCACTTTATTGATGAGACAGCTGAGGCCCAGAGAGGGTCAGCGACTTGCCCAGGATCAGTCAGGAAACGATAGAGCCGAATTCAAACCCAGCGAGCCAGGCCCTGTGACTGGGAGGCGGGTGGGATGGAGCCATGATATCCTAATCTGTAAAGCGGGGGGAGAATGGTGCTGCTGCAGAAACCTTCCCCCTGAATTTGGTGATTGTTCGGAGCCTGGAATAGCACAAGCCCTGGGGTCACAGTCCTGGGTTTGAGTCCCGGTCCCACGTCCCTCCTGTCTTCCCCAGGAAGTAGCAGGTCCTTCCGCTGCTTTGCCAGGCTGACAGCAAAGATTCTAGCCTAGGCCTAGAACTGATGACCCTGCCTGTCATCATCTCTTTATCCAACCACCTGCCCAAATAGTTTCTAATCCCCTCTTCCAATTCAAGTGAATGAAAGTGAAAACAGGTTGCAGGAAAAGTACTAGGCAAACTGGCCAAGTGTGTTCCATGCACAAGTGAGATACTCTTAGGAACTTCAGGCCATCCTAGGATGTCAGTGTGATCATTTCTATTTCCCCGAAGTGAACCTGAGGCACAGAGAGGTTAGGAATTTTCCCCAAGTCACACAGCTAAATAGTAGCCAATCTAAGATTTGAACCAGGCTGGTTCCTGCAGCATTAGTATTCCTCCACCATCTTTCTAGAGAAGTGGCTTTCAGAATATGTTTGGTCTGTGAACTTCCCTGATGGATCCAGTGGTTAAGAGTCTGCCTGCCAATGCAGGGGACACTTGCGTTGTGTCCAAACCTAACATGGGTTCGATCCCTGCTTTGGAAAGATTCTGAAACTACTGAAGCCCACAGCTGCTGAGAAGCCTGTGTGCCTAGAGCCCAAGCTTTGCAACAAGCAAAACCACTGCAGTGAGGAGACCACATACTGCAACTAGAGAGGAGCCCCCAGTTGCCGCAACTAAAGAAAGCCTGCATGCAGCAACGAAGACCCAGCACAGTCACAAATTACTAATTAATATTTTTTAAAAAAGAACATGATCATCACACACACAATTTTAATTGTACACACTGCAAATAGTTTAAATAGCAGGAGATCACATGAACATTCCCAGTTGGGGCTTCTCTTAGGCATGGAGAATGGTGGCAGCGTGGTGTCCGTGATCTCTTGGCGACTCTTGAATCTCTTGGAAGTTAGGCAGCACTGCTCTCCAGAGGGTGCAAGGCCACCACCGGCGCCTGGCCACACAGCCTGCCCTCCCTGCTGTCATCTCCCTCATGGCCTGGCCAAGAAGATTTCCCCACCCAGGAGACAACTGTTTTCTCATACTTTATTTACAAGGACCCAGCCCTCAGGCCTCCACCTTTCCAGAACCCACAAGAGGGGCCCAGGAGGGCCGCCTGCTTCAAAGCACATTGAATTCAGCGACTGTGAGCCATATCTGTCCAGAGGGCAGGGAACCCCAAGGAAGCGAATCAACACCACCCAGGTGCTAACTGAATCTAAGTGTGTGTCTGGTGGGGAGCGATTTAGGAGTGAGAGTCGTGTGTGTGTATATATATATGTGGCCCAGCCATATTGAGGCTGCTGGCTTCCCCCCTAAATCTCATAGTTCCCAGGGGCCACCGAAAAGGGTGGGTATGTCTCCAGGTGGCAGTGGGCCTGGCCTCTCGGAGATTTCAGCTCTGATGCCTGCCCTGAAACTGCATTGTTTTTACCTACACACAGAATCCTCTCTGGACCCCAGTACCCACTCACATTTCTATCTCCAACCTCTCCTGTAAGGAGTAAGCTCCAGCCCCTTACTCCCAGCTTAACAAGTCCAGAGAGCACTCCTGGTACTCCCCACCTCAAACCCCATCTCCCTCCCTCTTTCCTCTCTCCATCCCAAACTGAGAAGTCATCCCTGGTGTCTCTCCTTCTTCAGCAAATCCTCTCAGTTTTACCTTTAAAGTAGCTCTAGAATCCAACCATTTCACATCTTACGTGGCTGCCACCCTGGTCCTGCTAACATCACCTCCCACCATTATCAGACTTCTGACGTGGCTCCCAGCTGCCCCATAGCCCCTAATAATCCATCCCCACAGGGCAGATAACACCTTAGCCCATTCCTTTAGGAGACGCCCCAAAGAATCTTTCATGAACTTGGAGTAAAATGCCCACTCTTCTGTCCCCACCTACTTCTCTCTCCCCCTCTGTGGGTTCTGACTCATCCCTCTCCAGCCTGGCAGGTCACCTGTCTCTTCCTCAGACACAGCCAAGCTCCTCCTTGCCCCAGGGCCTTCACAGGTGTTCTTCCTTCTGCCTTAAACCTTGCCTGCCAATTCTTTGCAAAGCTGTCTCCTTCACCTCTTTTGGGCATGACTTCAAAGTCGCTTCATCAGAGATGCCCTGAACCATACTAGGTCCCCTTCTAACCTTTCTTCCTAAGCCATCGCACAGTGTATATAGTATAATTTGGTTTGTCCTCACCGCCTATTTCCCCCACTCAGTTGTGATCTCTAGGAGAACAGGGGCTTTTCTGTTTCCTTCCCCGCCCCCAGCCCCAAACCCCCGCCATTTCTCCAGCACCCTCCAAGCCAAGCCTGGTACACAGCAGGTGCTCAATAAATACATGCTAACAGAATAGACCCAAGAATCCCGCTGCCTAGCAGTAACTTTCTAAGACGTGGTTGGCCTCACCCCCAGGACCTGGGAGGGTCCTCGAGCACAGAGCGCGGCCAGCGGCGACCTGGCCCGGGCCGGAGCCGGAGGGCAGGGTCCGGAAGGCGGGCTCGCGGCGCTGGCGCGGCTCCTCGCCGAGGCTGTGGCGCAGGCGGCAGCGGTGCCAGCCCCGGCGGATCTCCGACTGCACCTGAAACCGGACGGTGCTCAGAGGCGGCGGCGCGCGCGCCATCCCTGCGCGGCCGGCAGAGGGCGCGGGCAACGGGCCGCGGCTCTCCCTACCTCCTTGTTGATGAAGCAGTAGAGGACGCTGACCAGGAAGCCCTGCCATGAGGGGAGCAGGAGTTAAACTGGGTGCAGGGGCAGGGTTATAAACACCCCTCAATGAGCTCTGACTCTTTGCAGGCGCAAACCACCTCGCCTGTCGCCACATCGGTCCTAGATTATTGCAGTCACCCTCTCCCTGGCTCCCGACTTCCCCCGGCCCCTTGCCCTCGCCAATTTGCAGAGCCATCAGGGCTGGAGATTAAGAACATGTAACCCGAGGCTGAAAGCTTGGAAGTGATCACGGCTCCCCACTTTCTTCCCCACTTAGGCAAGCTGCTTAACCCCTCTGTGCCTCAGTTTCTTCATCTGGAAAAGGGAACAATAATACAGTGGTGGTGCTGAGATTTAAGGTATTATTAATATGCAAGAAGGTCCAGTACATGAAACATAGTTAAACCTTTTTCTAAATCATATCATAACTTACTACAAGACATATTGGATTTATTTATTTGGCCGTGCTGCAGGGCTTGCGAGATCTTAGTTCCCAGATCAGGGATCGAACCTGGGCCCTCGACAGTGAAACTGCTGAGTCCTAACCACTGTACTGCCAAGAAATTCCCTAATAATAACCTTTAATAGGCACATCAAAAAATTAATTTTGAAATTATTTTTAAAAATTAGTTTTATAACAATTTAGAAATGTAAATCCATATAAAATGTATTTATAATTAATAAAGTAATTGATACATTAATGTAAGACAAGGGCTTCCCTAGTGGCTCAGATGGTAAAGAATCTGCCTGCAATGCAGGAGACCCAGGTTAAATCCCTGGGTCGGGAAGATACCCTGGAGAAGGGAATGGCAACCCACTTCAGTATTCTTGCCTGGAGAATTCCAAGGACAGAGGAGCCTGGCAAAGTTGAACATGACTGACTAAGCATGCAGTAAGTTATTACTTATCTTATTATCACTTTCCACTATCCCATTAAAATCCAACTCTGATCACGTTCCTTTGCTCCCATGGCTCCCAACTTACTCAGAGGAAAAGCCAAAGGTCCTCACTAGGCCCATGAGTCTACCCAGGTACTTCACCTCTGTCTTATCCTCTTACCCCCTTCTTAAGGCATGCTGGCCATGAGAGTGCCATCATGATCGGTACTCTCTCCCACCTCAGAGATCTTGCACTTGGCATTTCTCTTCCTGGAACATTTCCCCCAAATATCTTCCTGGCTCATTCCCTCATCTTCTTTGGGTGTCTGCTCTAGTGTCTTTTCAGCAAGGCCTTCCCTGACCCCTGTCCACAATCCTATTCTTTGTCATCTCTATTTTCTTGCCTTCCCATCCCTCCCTCCTTTAGGCACATCTCACCATCTGACATTCTGTGTATTTTACTTATATAGCATATTTAGCATCTGTCTCTCCCACTAAAGCATAGGGACCATTGGGTTGGCCATATCCCCATAGTAAGCCTGGAACAGTGCTTGGTATATAGTAAGTGTTCAATAAATTTTTGCTGAATTGATAAATGAGCAGTCTTATAAAGTGAAACTAGTATTGTCCCCACTTTAGAGATGGGAAAACTGAGGCCCAACAAGGTAAAGCAGGATAGAGACTAGGGTAGGACAAGCACGGGCAGGGTTGACCTTAAATATCAGTGGACATCTCCTTCCATTTGGCATATTGGCACTTCATATGCTTCACCTTTTCCCTGGCCCTGAGGTGAAGCTCACCGAGCTGGGAAGTGAGGACCCAGATTTGGCCCCAGCCCTGGCTGATCTCAAAACCCTCGATCTTAACTAGGAGGCAGTACTGCTGGGGCTGCCGGGTCTCCTGCCTTCTCCCTGCTTCCCCAGTCAGGATGGAAGGGTAGAATGAATGAACAAAATGCCATCTTCGCAGCCTATTCTGCGGCTGCACCAGAGGATGACTCTAATCCTCCTGCCTCTCTGAGTAGGAGGACCCGAACTCAAAGGGTGTAGCTCCTGCACCCCGCTTAGGCACCTGGAAAGAACTGAGGAAGATCTCAAAGCCGAGCTTGGCCAAGCGCAGGGCACCCCGGGCCTGTTCTTCAGTCACGGGAGCAAACACCACCTCGTGGACGCCCAGCAGGGGCACCAGCGTCAGCGTGGAGCGAGCCAGCCTGCGAGTAGAGGGTGGCAGTGATGCCGGGGTCCGGAGTCCCCCATCTTGCCCCCAGTCACCCTCCCCTCCGTCCCCACCTCAGTCGGTAGTCCGGGCAGCGCATCTGTCGCGTCCTCAGCTTTGACACGAGGATGCCAAGGATGCGGATAAAGATGAGAAAATTAATCTGCCGGGGTTGGGGGGTAGGGGAGAGAGAGACTGAGCCAGTTCCCCGCCACCTTGGCTTCCCAGGATGGGAAATTCTCGAGACCAGCCTGGAGGAGATGGGACCGGCCGTACCAAGATTGTTAGGAGAATAGGGGTTCGTATGATCCACCAAATGGCTTTGATATCGTTCCGCTCCCAGCACCTGGAGGAGAGGGCGTAGAGCTGAGATAGACTAGAAAACCCCAGACTCACAGAATTAAGCACTTAACCTCCCCACCTCCCTTAAGGCCACATCCACATTTCCCTAAAGCCCCTGCTACTATTTAGGCCCAGCCCTCATCCCACCCCTTGCAGTAGTCCTGGAACCCATCTTCCTAAGCGACTGGTTCCTTTATATACCCTCCCAGGCTCTTAGAGGCAATTAGAACCTCCCCACGATTCCGTCTCATCCCGCCCAAGTCCCTCCAAGCCCCGCCCACCACCCCAGACCCGCCCCAGACCCCGCGACTCACTGCGTGTTCTCGAACAGGTACCTGACGATCACCCAAGGAATGACGAAAAGCGTGGGGGCCCCTGTTCAGACCCCAACCCCCGCCCCCCACCCCGCCGCAGCTGTCAGAGCGCGCACAGGCCCTGCCAGGCCCAAGACCCGCGGAATTCCCCCGGCCGGGAAGGGGAGGCTGAGAATCCTAGAGAAGGGAGGAGACCCCCTCAGGCAAACCAGCTGGGTAGTTTACGGGAGGGGAAGCGCGCTGGGCAGGGCAGGGGACAGGGTCGGGGCTCACCCCAGCCGAGGAGCATGTAGCAGCGGAAGTGGCCCTCCTCGGAGCCTCCCACAAGCACGAGGAGACTGTGCAGGTAGATGCCTTCCACCAGCAGCCACGTGTAGTTGGCACCCACGCAGTACTGGGTCACGATCTGGGCCGTGCGACAGGCAGCTAGGGCCTAGGCGGTGGCCAGACAGGGGGAGGGGGCAGTCAGGGTCTCCTCCAAGCCCATCTTTTGTCATCAAATATTCTCTTCCCATTCTGTATCACCAAAGGATGATATAGCTATCCTCTTTTCGCTCACTCTGTTCTCCTTCCCTACAAGAACTCTCCCACTCTAACCTCTCTAACGATTGGTATCTTCCCTGGAAGCTCAGCTGGTAAGGAATCCTCCTGCAATGCAGGAGGCCCTGGCTGAATTCCTGAGTCGGGAAGATCCGCTGGAGAAGGGATCGGTTACCCACTCCAGTATTCCGGCCTGGAGAATTTCATGAGTTCCCCCAGATTCCCCTGAATATGAACTCTTCCACCCCATCTCTTAAGAATTCAACTACTCCACCTCTCAAAAGGTTTCTCTCATCACCCACCAGCACATGGACTCTCCCACCCCCTTCATTTTCTTTTTTTTTCCCCTTCGCTTTCAATAATTGGTATGGCCCAATTTGCTGCCAGACAGGTTCTCTCCCCACTCGCCCCTAGTCTCTAGTCTCTCTCCCACCTTGTCTCCCCGGAACAAATTGGTATCTACCAAATCCCCCCATCGGTTAGTTTCTCCCATCCTGCCACCTTCGGTCTCGCCTCTAGCAGGGGACTCTCTTATTGGTGCAAAACTCCAACGGGTGAGATACTGAGAGAAAGGGAATGGAAACGTTCCAGTAGAGGAGACAACGGGATGAGAGAGTTTAATGATGGGGGAGGCTGTGTAGGGAGGGTCCCTCTCTAGTTGTGTCAGAAGGGTCTAGAGAAATTAACAGTGGATAACATTATTGTTCTTTTTGTTGTTTCCTTGCTAAGTCGTGTCTGAGTCTTTTGTGACCCCATGGACTGTAGCCCACCAGGCTCTTCTGTCTGGGATTTCCCAGGAAAGAGCAGTGCAGTGGGTTGCCATCTCCTTCTCCAGGGGATATTCCCGACCCAGGGACCGAACCCATGTCTCCTGCATTGGTAGACAGGTTTTCACCATTGAACCACCAGGGAAGCCCGGTTGATAGGGTGAAAATTGCTCAGTCATGTCTGACTCTTTGCGGCCCCGTAGACTATACAGTCCATGGGATTCTCCAGGCCAGAATACTGGAGTAGGTGGCCTTTCCTTTCTCCAGGGGATCTTCCCAATCCAGGGATCGAACCCAGGTCTCCTGCACTGCAGGCAGATTCTTTACGTTCTGAGCCACCAGGGAAGCCCACTGATAGGCTGCTGCTGCTGCTGCTAAGTCACATCAGTCGTGTCCAACTCTGTGTGACCCCATGGACGGCAGCCCACCAGGCTCCCGTCCCTGGGATTCCCCAGGCAAGAATACCGGAGTGGGCTGCCATTTCCTTCTCCAGTGCGTGAAAGTGAAGTCGCTCAGTCGTGTCCGACTCTTTGCGACCCCATGGACTGCAGCCTACCAGGCTCCTCCTTCCATGGGATTTTCCAGGCAAGAGTACTGGAGTGGGGTGCCATTGCCTTCTCCGACTGATAGGCTAGGAGGTAGTAAATGGAATGGGAACTCTCTGGCCCTACCAGAGGAGGCAGAATCTCAATTTGAGAAAGAGAAGGATGCGCTCACCTGGTTCCACAAGGTAAGGACCTGATCCCCAGGGTAGGGGCCAGGGGGAGGAAGCAAACGGTCTCGGGTAAGGATGGCAGCTGCCCGCAGCATGAAAGACGTGAACAGGTTGATGTGAATGTAGTTTCGAGTGCAGCGCAGCCGCCTGGGGAATTTGGGAGGCAGTCTGAGGGCCTCTCCTTGGCCACACAGAGTCCCTTAAACTATGTCCCAGCCCTCCCCACAGAACCACCACTGGATACTTGTTGCCAGTGGAGCCTGACTACCCCCATCTTTCTGGGAAAACTGAAGCCCAGTCTCTGCTGCTTCTGTGCAGGGTTGTGGGGGTTCCCACCTGAAGGTGCTCAAGATGAGCAAGGCGAACAGCAGTGTGGCAAGGGACAGGGAGTAGCCCACGGTGTACACAACCTGCAGCCGTTCCAAGGTCAGCCTTTGGTCCTGGGGGTGGAGGTGGGGGAAGAGGACACAGAAATAGAGCTCAGCTCCTGCAAGCCACAACTGCTGAGCCCGGACCGAAAAGCCTGCACGCCGCAACTAAGACGAGACCCCACTCACCGCAACTAGAGAAAGCCTGCACAAAGCAGTGAAGACCTGGTGCAGCCAAAAATTAATGAATACATTTTAAAAAGAAATAGAGCTCAACTCCTGCCCTCAGGCCATAAAGGAGCTGCTCTTTGTTCCTCCTCGGACCCCAATTTTCTTTTGGGGAATCTATCAACCTTTGTTTGAGTGGGGCATTCCACCCCTCAAGTCCAGGACTGGGCAAGCGACCAGCGAATCAAAGCATTCTATCTAACACTACACTGCACACACACACACACACACACACACACATACACACACGTGCGCGCACACACGCATGCACGCACACGCACACACACATGCGCGTGCACACACGCGCACACAGAGTGATTACTCAGGGGCAGGTATGCTACTGCAAATCAGGCCAGTGACGGTCAGTCCTGGGACATTAAGTTGGAGCTATTGAGAAAAAAGCTCAGTCTGCCGATAGCATTGCTTGGTAGGTAAGAATGTGAGCCTGGTACCAATGGGAGCCACCTTTTCCACCCCACACACACAAAAAAGAGGACATCATCATAGAGAAAAACAGAAGTACAATATGGTGAGAGAGATTCCCAATTACATCATTTTAGCACTTAGATCCAGCTGTACCTGAAGCTGTAGCCTTATAATTTTCAATCACAAAAGCCAATATCTTTCTCTTTCTCCTTCAAGCAAGGAGTTGAATTTCTATCACTTGGAACCCAGGATCCTGAATGGTACAAGGGGTTTCAGGCTCTGTCTGAGGCTGCTGCTCTTCCACTGCTGCCTAGAAATCATACCCTGAAATTTCTCCTTTTCTTACCTGAAAAACCCCATTTTTCTCTGGGTTTTCACACTGAGAATGGTCTCTCCAAGGTCCCCATTGGCCATCACTGCCACATTGGCGGAAGACAAAGCCTTTAGCCACTGAGGGGAAACAGGGAGGGAATCAGAGGCAAACAGAGAGAGATGGAGACAGAAAGATGAACTGAGACAAAGGCAGAGAGAGATATCCAGTGATGATGATGATAAACCATAATATAGCATTTTACATGTGCTAATTTAATATTCATAACAAACCTATGAACTTGGTACTGTCATAAACATCAATTCACAAATGAGGAACTGAGGCATAAAGAAATTTCATTGGAAAAGACTGATGCTGGGAAAGATTGAAGGCAGGAGGAGAAGGGAACAACTGAGGTTGAGATGATTGGATGGCATCACTGACTCGATGGACATGAGCGTGAGCAAACTCTGGGAGACTGTGAAGGACAGGGGAGCCTGGCGTGCGGCAGTCCACGGGGTGACAAAGGGTCGGACACAATTGAGTAGTTGAACCCCAGGTCACACTGCTAGTTAGGCAAGGAAGACCAAGATGTGCAGAGACAGACTCATGAAAAGGAGAGAAAATAACCTGGTGGTCGTCAGAGAAAGACAGAGGAGGGATGTTATGTGGAGGGACACACAGACAGAGACATCCAGCCCAAGAGGACCAGGGAGCTGCGGGGGAGTGGCGTCTGGGACGAGGGTTAGGACGTAGGTCTTTGTGTCAGAGGTGGGCCTGGGGTCCGCCCGGAAGCTCACCGTGGCCGTGCCAGGGCAGATACCAAGGGCAGGACGCACGGGCAGTGGCGTTGGGTGCAGTGTAGTCCCAGCAGACGTACATATCGAAGGACCCGTTACAGGCGAGGCCTGGGGTGGGCGTGGGGGCCGGAGTTCGGACAGACCTGCTGTAACTCGAGCCCAAGGCATCTCGGCCAAGCATTCACAAGCCCCGCCCGAGCCGCGCCCACCCGGAGTGGTCGCGTCCCTGCTCCTTCGTAGCTCCTCCCACTAGGCCCCGAGGCCCCGCCCATCTTTCGAGCCTTATTCTGTGCTCCTCCCACCAAGCAAGGTCCCGCCGCAGATGCTTCCCAGTCTGCAAGGCTCTTCCTAGACTCCACCCCAAACCCCGCCCCCTTCGCCGTCCACTTTAGGTCCCACCCACTGAGTGTAAGCCCGGCCCAAGACCCCTCCGCTTTCAAGCTTCATCTCTGGCGTCCCCCTCGTGGCCCACTTTTACCCCAGACCCTCAGACTTCTCTTTCGGGCCTCGGCGGCGTGTCAGCCCCAAGCCGGCCTCAAGCCCATCCCTCTCAGCCCCAGCCCTTCCCTTGCCCCCAGTCCTCCACCCCTGTCACACCTGCTGGGGGCTCCGAGGCCTCCAGTGTCTCCTGGCACTCCCTACGGTACCGCTCCCAGCGCTGGTACAGCTCTCCCGCCGTCTGCCCCTCAGAGCCTGCCTACAAAAAGAGAGAAGGGAGGACCACCCCTCCCACCGCGGCCCGCGCCCCGACCCCAGCTCCCAGGCCGCAAGATCCCCGAGGGCCAGAGACACCCTAGAGGGTCTTGGAGCGGCTGTCCTGTTTTGGTCAGGCGTCTTGGGTGGCTTAGAAACCTCTTTTAAGTCTTGAGGGGTGCCTAGAAACCACCAGGGGAGTTGCTGTGGGGAACTAAAAACCTTCAGGAAAATTAGGAGATGGAGGTGGCTGGAAATTATAAGGAGATTTGCGGGGAGTTGGGGAAGAAGAAGGACTAGAAACAACCATCAAAACTTGAATCTGGGCAGATGGGGAGCCTTGAAACAATCTTCCCAGTGGGATACGACTTAAAACCGGCCCCAACATCCCTCCAAGCCTTGAGCCCCTGGGCTCCTCTGGTTCTCACCTCCGCGCTCCGGAGCAGCGGCTCCCACAGCGAGAGCAGAAGCAGCGGCCACCAGGGTGGACAGGTGGGCATCATGTGGGCAGCAGGGCATGGAGAACGAAGGGTCCGGTCACGCAAGGGCAGCCGGGTCTGGGGGTCCGAGGCAGAATCAGAAGCCTCTGCCTCCTCTCCCAGCCCTAGCGCCCTCCGCTCAGGGAGTCACATACCCCGGAGACAGCGACCCCCACAACTACGAGTGATGATTTGGGCCCAGGTGGGGGGGGGGGTGAGTCTTGAGGAATGGGCGGAGACCAATCTCCAACACCTGATTCCCCGGCCCGCCCCCGGCTGTTGCTGGGGCAGCGGTGATGGAAGGGGGGTGTTTGCAGAGGGTGCGGTTGCCTTAGAGTTGCGCTGGACGGGAAGCTCCAGAGTCACCCGCAGTCTAGACCTAGAGACTCGGGGGAACCTGGAGACCACCTTGGAGAGGAGGACATGTAGCTCAAAGTGACGCTTGGACTTCCCACTCTCCCAGTTCAAAGGGTTTTCAAATCACAGATAGGAACCCGACCTTATCAAACTTTCCCAGCTGCGGATAAAACCCAGAGTTAATGGGTCAATAGCTCTCCTTAGGGAATAGAAAGGTGAGGGGCCCAGATGCTTGGAAATCAGTCTACCCCCCCCAACACCCCACATCCGGCATCATGCAGGGAAAGGAGGAAACAGGAGGATGTTGGTTGAAACCCCAGAAACACACGAGTCAGAAATGCTTGAGACAAACATAGAAACTGAGAGACACAGAGACAGACAGAATGAGACACGACAAGAGACCAGACATCAAAAGGGAGAGGAAGACAGAGACGAAAATGTGGACTAGGAGACAGAGGAGGTAGAGACATGGAGAGACACAGAGAATGGGGCAAATAGACGGAGATATAGAACTAGCGGCTATTTGAGACGTGGAGACAGATACTGACAGATAGATAGAAGGACATAGACCGCGGGCACAGAGAAGCTGAGACAAAGGCACAGAGCAAGAGGGGTCTGGAGATGTGAGGGGACACAGGGGCGGGGACATGGCTAAGGTGGGGGAGCCCTCACCTGTTCCCAGCTCGCCTCTCAATCACTTGCTTCTGACGCTGTCGCCTCCACGGCCTCGCCTGGTCTCCGCAGGAGGTGACAGCCCGGGGTAGGGGTAGGGGGCGGGGCCAGGGCGGGCCAAGGAACAGGAGCGGGGAGCTGGGGCAGAGACCTGGCGCAGGGGGCCAGTCATCTGTGAGTATCACAGCCATTCAGGGTCATGTGGGGGAGGGCAGTCACAGAGTCAGCATCCTGAGGACCCCCCTCCCAGGGCGCACAGCCCCTCAAGTTGTCCCACCTGTCCCATCCAGCCACCACGCGCGGGGCCACACACACAGTGTCACACATGACCCCATACTCTGAGCCGCAGAGAGGCACGGCACAGCATCTCACATACTGTGCCTCACTGAACGTGTTCTTCATATTCATTCATAGTCCCACAATCCAGCGTCACACCCCGTGAGCCAAAGGTTCTCCCCCACAGGTTGACAGTCATCCACAGTGGCACACAGCCACACACTCTGGGCATGGACTCCTCCACTCACTCAGCAACACAATCACAGCTTCCTACAGTTCCCATGATACTGTGTCCATCATGCATATGTTCACGCCATCGTTAAATCACATCACAAATACTGTCTGTCTCCCCCCACTGGCCTGAGTGCCCCATGAGGACAGGGCCAGGGCATCTGTCACCACTGGGTCCCCAGAGTCACTCAGCACAAGTTGGGGCATAGAGCAGAGGCTGTTGACATAAAGGCAAACAGTTATATGTGATTGTCTTACAATCCTTTCATGACAGTCTGAAAGTCATATATACAATGTTACACAACTCCACTCGTTAACGTGCTCACACAACGTCTCACACGCTTCACATAATTACCGACAGAGTCCACAGTCACAATCCAGCAACACATGTTCCCCAAGTGTCACTAAGACACACACTCCCTTGAGCTCCGGATGTTACACTGTCATCCTCAGTCACACCCAGTGCTAAGACATACAACTCTCCATCACAGCCTCACTTGCGCTCACAAGTCATATACAGCCACCCGCAATCACGTAGTTGTGCACAGGATTGCACACCATCCTCCTACCACCATGCATGAACCCACAGCCTCACTTGGTCTCCCGGTCACAGTCACCACTGATCACACACCTCCTCACAGTCTCCACTTCCAGTCTCTTCCTTTGCCCTAAAATATGGAAAATATTTGGCTTAGAAACTGAATCCCGGCTCTCAGCACTCACTTCCCCCTTGAATGCAAACCAATTCCTGCACATTAATCATACTAGTAACACTCATGAGCACACATTCCCCAGGGAGCTGGAAGATAAATGGGACAGAGGTAAGTCTGCCCATTTTGCAGAGGAGAAACTGAGGCCAAGAGGCCCCAGGAGGGGCAGAGAGTAAGGAGTGGTGTGAGATCCAGCACTAGAGGCTGGAAGGAAACCAGTCTCAGGGAGGGAGAGTGACTTGGGGGCTCCTGGCTTCCTGACCTCCAGCTGGCCTCCCTGCTCTCTGCCCTACATTCCTGGCGCCCTCTGGGTCCTGGGAAAGGCTCGGTTCATGGAGTGGAGAGGAGAGGAGTCTGAGAATGCCCAGCACCTCGGGGAAGAGGCTGGAATTGGGAGGGAGCCTCTCCTTGGTCCCAAGAGGGTCTGGGGTCACTTGCTGGGGATGGGAAGGTGGGGGGAGGCTGGAAAGTGGGAGGAAAGAGACTGGGGGTGGGAGGGGGAAGCAGGGGAGAGGAACTGAGGTGGTGAGAAAGACAGGAAAAGAAATCAAGGACCAAGAAAGAGCAGAGACAAACAGAGACAGGAAGAGGCAGAGATGAGGGAGACCAGGAGAAAGAGACAGAGAGAAAGAAACGAGAGACAGAGAAGTAGAGAGAAATATACAAAAAGAGAGGGACAGAAAGAGAGAAAAAATCAGGGAAGAGAAAGTAGACCAAGGAAGGGAGAAAGAAGAGATACAAACTGAGAGATGGAGACTTTGAGAGATGGAGATGGAGTGGGTGGGGGGAGGGAGAGCCTGAGAGATGGGCCCTGAGGAGAGACAAGCAGGACAGGAGCCTGGGGATGGCAGGCTGGCCCCTCCCTCATCAGTCCCTCTGGGCAGAATAGAGCATTGGGTCCGGCGTGGGCGTGGAGGACGGAAGGAGGGATGTCTGGGTCCCCGACTGGCCCCCTGCTCATCTCAGCCCTCCTGGGGGCTTTTACAGTCTCCCAGGGCCTGGGGAGGAGGCAACAGGGCCACAGGGGTAGCCACGCGGGCCCTCTCCAGTCCCCACGCTCAGGGCTTTGGAAACTGCAGGCAGAGAAGTGGCCATGCCCTCTCCCCTTGCCCTTCTTCTCTCTCCATGCCCCTCTTCAGTCCCCTTGATCCAAGAATCTCTTCTTTCTCCTTTCCTCCAAGCCTGAGTGCAGTTTTTCCATCTTCCTCCCTTGTTGGCTGGGCTGTCTTTTCTCTTCTCTTCCCTCCGGATTTCTTTCTGCCCCCTCATTTCTCTTGCTCGCTCCATCCTCCAACTCAGTCTCTTCTTGCCTGTCTTGAAGCTTTCTCCTTTCTCATTCCTCTTTTCCCATTGCCTCTCAGAGTGTCTGTCTGTCTGTTTCCCTTTCTCCATGTTCCCTGGTCCCGGGTCTCCAGGCTGTTGTTCCCTCCACCCTAGCCATGACCAGGCAGTGTCCCCCCCACCTCAGGATGCCATGGTGGGGCAGAATCTGGGGGGGCCTGTGCCTCCCCCCATGGGGCTGCCTGGCTAAGAAGAGCCTGCGGGGAGCAGGCGGGGGCCTGGAGTGCCGGCAGATGGTGCAGGAGAAATGAGGTAGAGAGAGATGGGGAGAGGGGGGGCCCCATAGGGACTGAGGCCAGAAATGGGAGGCTGAGATGGCCCCCTGAGATTCAGGACTGCGGAGAGACAAGGCCTCAAAGACAGAAACCCAGAGAGAGACACATGCACAAACAGAAAGAGATTCAGAATGTCAGAGACAGAGACTGACACAGAGAATGTCAGAGAAAGACACAGCTGAAAATATAGAGATCCTTAGAGAGAAGGAGGGACGGACATTCAGAGAGAGACCTGTGAGATTCACAGGACCCTGTGAGACACAAGCAGACAGCGCTCCAGAGACGGGGGTACATGGAGAGAGAAAGACTGACAGAGGACCCAGAGGAAGGTAGGAACCCAGAGACCGAGATCCAGAGACGAGGGCCTCAAGAGACCAACACAAAAAACACGGGACCCAAGAGAGAGAGACAAAGACCCAAAGAGAGACAGAGACATAGAGATAGAATAAATACCTAGAGAGACACAGAGATGTGGAGACATACAGAGATGGAGACCCAAAGAGAGAAAGCAAAAGGACAGAGAGAGAGACTCAGAGAGATGAGAGCATCGGTATCCAGAGAGATAATCAGAGACAGAGACAGAGCTGATCCAGAGAGAGTGCGGAGGCTGGGGAGAGACTTGGAACGCAGATAAGTGGGGATGGGATAAACTCCCC